CTGGTATGACAGAACAATTTATTAATTTATCAGCATATGAGCATTTATCATTAAATTTACGTGCATGTTTTTTTAAACCAGGATTTTATTCATTGGGGAATATATCATTAACAATAATTGATAAAATTAATTCTACAACTATACCGATCAAATCAAATACACATAATTATTTTGTCGATATTCGAACATTATTATAAATGTTTTTCTTTTTCTTTTTTTTTCGGTTCTTAAAATAGTCAGGCTTTATTTGAAAATTCTCTTCAATATTTTGTTTTTCCTGTTTTATTCTTATCTGTTCACTGTTTTTTTCTTTTCGTCCATATCGATCCAATGAAGTGGAACAAGTGTCCTGACAGAATCAATATAATATAAAAGAGTACTCATATATGATATTATCAAGGGAGCAGAATCTATTGAACGTTTTCTGAAGCAAGCAGAGAAATACAGTAAATTTTCTTGATCGATATTCTGCAAGACATTATCACTTAGTCATCGTATTTTTCAGGATAATCTTTTTCTTTGTATTTTTGACAAGAATAAAAGTTTGTTTGTATATGAGGTACGATGTCAAATATCATCGATGTGCTATTTATACAGAAAAAAAAAATACTTTGCAATATAATCATGTTAACGAACCTTATCACATGTTTTCTAAGCAAAAATGAAATGAACAATAAAACAAAATGCTTGACATTCATAGAATAAAAAAATCATAGTAAAAATGCAGTGCGAAGTTTTCGATGTCAATTGACAGATAAATCGATATGTTCTAAAAAATGACTAATCGTTTGGACGATTGAATATTAAACGCTTTTTCTACAACGAATAATTAAGCTATACTGGAATTAGGGCTTCTTTTTTTGTCATTGTAAATCGAAAAAGTTACGTTTCGATCAATCAGATAATAGAAGTCAGAAACAAACGGTGTTGTAACCATGACGAAATTTATTACTATGAGAACTCTATTAACGAATATAAACATGATTACAAAGGATACTTTCGATTAATCGCTTGATTCTTCTTCTGATTCATTAGCTATTATCAACTGTATTTACGGAGAGTAGTGTCTAACTTTTATTGCTATCTTCGTTTTAATCATTTCGAAGCTAGGTGTGGGTGTGGATCTTCTCTTCCACAAAACTCACACGCACACCCTCCATTTTGAAGAGTCTTTCTGCATAAAAATGGGGCGGAAACTTGTGAAATACTCTTTATCAACAATTAGTCAAATGTATGACTTATTGAACATAAATACGTTGCTTCTTTCTTGTTTAGACAACTTTGAGCCATCGAACAATAGTTCTAAATGTACGTGTTACAAGCTATTGGATTGATCGAGCCATCTTTTCCTTTTCCAAAGAAAAATTTAATAACAACTTTATTAATAAGAAAGAAAACATGAGCGATCATACCAAGGGAAGGAAAAGAGAGAGAGAGAGAAGAAAGGCGATCACTTTTCGGTATATTCTCACTTGTGAAGTAAGATATACTTGAAAAAAACATCGTTTAAGTAAAATAAATCAATGCATAAGAAAGATAAACAATGAAAGAGAGGAGAATAAGAAAGAAGGAAAAAAAACATGAATGATACACAGGAAAGAAGGATAATACTATATATCACACAATGTAATAGCGAATCAACATCTTATTTTTTCGCTTATAGTACGTTGGACATTATTTTGTGTGAAGTACAAATGTTCACTAGAATTTAATCGCAGTAATGAAATGCATCACAACATCATCAAATGTTTGTGTATCTTTACTCAGAAAAATATGAAGTAGTGGTGGTCAGTTACCGTTACCAGGTACAGTTTTCGTACCTTGGTAAAGCAACTGATTGGCAATAGTAACGGATCACTTCTGTATTGGAAGGATGAGAACTTTCCATTACATAACCAAACAATTAGTAGCTGGTCAGTTATCGATTGTCTAGGTAACTAATACTAAATCCGTTACTTGTTATCAGCCACTAAGTAATTGATAACTTACCCGTTTTACCAGTTGTTTTGCTACGTAATGGTAAGTCATTTTCCCAGAACACAATAGTAGTTAACTACCATCACTGATCAGCTACTTTACCAAGGAATGAAAACTGTATCAGTTACCAGTTACTTGGATAACGAGTAACGGATCAGTTATCGTTACCTGGTGACGTAATAGTAACTTCCTCTCCCAGTATGAAAGTAGTCAAGAAGCATTCGTGATTAATTAATTACATAAAACAGATACACCGATCGATAATATTTCATCATTCATTATATGAAAATATTTGCATATGCATGCGAATTCAAGACTTCTGATAGATAAATTAATTAATTGAAAATCAGTAGGATATCATTTTTGCTAAGTCCTACTGTTATGTCATTCTTTTCTTTTTTTTCTTACTTTGTTATCACCGAGATAGCAACATGACGGTATGACCACAGAACAGAACAAAAGAATAATCTCCCTTCGCATGGAATCGAACGATGCATCTCCTGCTTTCCGGGCAGTCGTATTAACCACTGTACTAGAAAGGAGTACTCATCATTCGTTTTGTTCTGTCTTATGTTCGAAGGGGAACACTTTGAACATAACACCTACTGCAAAAGTCTTAAGATAAAATATTCGTTCGTAAGTTTAATTATTTAAAAACAACGAATGAGAATTTTCAAAAATTTATTAGAATAAAAATTGTATAATCTTTCTGATATGTGTTCAGAATTATTGTCTAATTTAAGATTGATTCATTGTAAGACAATGTTTGAAAGAACTGAAAATGATTTCTGTACAAAATCTTGTTTTCGTCTATATCGTATTTGGATTATAACTTATTCAAATAAGAATGTAAAAAAATTCTAATATTCCAATTTTATACAGTAATGGTTGCTTTACAACAATTCTTATTTTATTTTATTTTTTGATATGTTGTAATAATACATTTAAAATCTATGACACTGTAAAAGATGGATTAAGAAAGATTATTTTTTTTTACTCTGTAGCAGCTTATTTTATAGGTTCATTATGTAGACCTCAACCCTTAGTGTATTGCTGTTGAAATGCTGCATTCTTACAATATTCTTTTTAAGTCAATGCTGTGATCCTCTCTGGAACACAAAGAAAACTCGTCTTCAGATTTCAACTTGAAACATTGTACAGAGATAGAACTTAATGAGAATAATTTATGGTGAAAGTTTCAGGTCTCTTGATTTGCTCGTTTCCTGAAATAAGAACATCAAATCTGACAATATATATGAGCATTGTAAACGATAAACTTTTATCATAGATGTATCTTAGGATAAGAGTAATACGATGATCAGAAACTTTCACAATAAACCATCCTGAGTAAGATCTGTCTTAATGAGTGAAAATGTAAATATCTCGGCAACAATACGCAGTGTCCGAGCTCTTACTCAGGGTATTCATAACTTATTGAGATCAACATGAGACAATACAAAACTAAAAATTACAAATTAATCCGAAATTCTGTTGTATAAACATCAGTTTTTTTACATTTACTCATAGTTAACCAATTTTTAATCAGACAAAAAATTCTGAACAGAAAAAACGAACGAATATATTTTTTTTGTTTGTTCTTAAAGAGTATGTACTTGCAAAAAATTTTAAATACAAAGCTAAAATTTCTGATATTAAACTCATACAAACAAACAAAAAAAAGACCAGTTTTACAATTTTAAATATTCATGAAAAATTTATTTTTCTCTTATTTATTCGAAAATCATAACACAGATATGAAACTCGAAATATTAAATTGCACATATCTGTTTGAAGTTTAGAAAGAAAATGAAATTCTTTCATTGTTCATCGCCGGGTTTGTCCAAGTGAATCTTTAATAGCTGAGCATAACCATTCAATTCCATCAGGTACACCATCTCCTTTAAGTGCATTACTAGAACATATATGCCAAGATTTATTTATAATACCATCAAGACCTAATGCTGATGATACACCAACATCTGATAAAGCATCACGTATATCCATTTTATTAGCAAATATTAATATTGGTATATTACGTGATGATATATCATGATGTGAAAGTAATTGTTGAAATTCTTCACGAGCAACAAGTATACGTGTTTTATCTGAACTATCAACAACAAATATAATACCATTTGCTGTATGATAATAATTTCCCCATAATGTTCTATATCGACTTTGTCCACTCATATCAAATGCTGTAAATGAAAGTCCTTTACATGAAAAATGTTCAACATTAAAACCAACTGTTGGTACAATATCATTTGATTTATTTTCAGCTGGTAAAAGATAATTTAAAAGTGAAGTTTTACCACTATTATCAAGACCAACAACTAATACACTAACTTGACGTTTTCGAAGGCCAAGCCATTCAATTAATGAATCAAGTAGACCCATGCATTCAATAAATTAGAAAAAGGATTAGCTATTGATTTAGATTAGCATAAAAGAAATCCAGATCAATGATAATGGAATGTCAAATATATTTAATTGCTTAGATACAACCATCATCGATATTTTTTTTTTTTACAATAGAGGTCACTTATAGTATCCACTAAAACTTAGAAAAGAGAGGACAAACAAAGTAAAGAGTGGTGGTAAATTGAGGACTAAGATATGGATAAATAGATGCCATTATTAAAATAAGAATTATATACTTATTTATTTTATTAGATATCATTAAATTTATGAGAAACTATCGAGATTTATCTTTTTTGGAATTTTTTATACACCATCGAATTTATTCCAACTTATCTATGGATCGTATTCAATACATTTTAATAGTCTGAAAAAAATTATCGTCAACTGATCATCACATCTAAGTATTGTTCTCGCTCTCACTCTCAGCTAGATAATCTGCCTTCTGTTCAGTTCCTTTCGTTTGATATATAAATCTCGAAAGCATCTGTATATTTCGTATTGAATATAATAATCTTTACAGTTTAACAAAATAATAAAATGCGCTTAAAAAAATTTTTTTCTTTGTTTGTTTTTTGCAGGTCTTTTATTTTCTTTACTATTTAATGACAACAACAGCAGATCCTAATACAACAACTGAAGATTGTTGTAGCACAACAGTTACTTTAACTGAAACTGATCAAAATGTTCGTCCACAGTCTCCAACACTTATACTTGAATTACATCGTCCAATTGGTGCAGGTCCACATGTTCGTTGGTCAGAAGAGACTGTTGATAATGAAAATATGAATAAAAAAAAATCAAAATGTTGTTGTATTTATACAAAACCACATGATCCTCAATCAAATGATGATAAAATAAATGAAGTTGATGAATATGGAAATTGTCAACATTGTCGATATCATACAGAATCGGATTATACTGCTGAACCAGAAGACCGTCAACCGAAAGTTAAATTAGTTATTGGCCAACCAAAATAAGCTCTAGATTTATTTATTTTGTAAATTTGCATGTAAAATGACGAATTAAATTCGAAAAAAACCAAGCATTTTTTTAACCGAAAAAAAACAAAATTAAAATATATCTGTAGTCTCGCTGTTTTTTTTTCTTGTTTTTTTAGATTATCTTATTGTTTTTATCATCCATCATTTGAAAAAGAAGAAAAGAAAATCATGGGTCGTGTTCGTACAAAAACTGTTAAAAAAGCATCACGTCAAATTATTGAAAAATATTATACAAAATTAACGCTCGATTTTCATACAAATAAACGTGTTGTAGAAGAAATTGCTATTATACCAACAAAACGTCTTCGTAATCAAATAGCTGGTTTTATAACACATTTAATGAAACGTATACAAGCTGGACCTGTACGTGGTATATCAATTAAACTTCAAGAAGAAGAACGTGAAAGACGAGATAATTATGTACCAGAAGTATCAGCACTTGAACCACAAACTATGATTTCAATTGATCAAGATACAAAGGATATGTTAAATGCATTTGATTTTAAAACATTACCGAATGTTTCTGTTCAAGAAACGAATGAACAACAAAATCAACAAGGTCTCGGTAATCAACGTCAAGGTGGTGATCGACAACGTGGTACTTATCCGCGACGTGGTGGTTTTCAATAAACATTGATAACAAATATTAAAAGAAAATATTTTCAATCCTATTCAAATTAACAAAATAAGAACAATAAAAGAAAAAAAAAGCATTTTTTTTGTTATGTTTTTGTTTTGTATTATCATCTAAACAATAAATGGGATTGAGATAAACAAAAAATAAATAAATAAAACTTGAAAAAAAAACACGAAGTTTTTATTTAGATTGTTCAATACTATTTTTTTTTTCATGAATTTATGGCTAATTATCGAAAATTAAAAGTACATGAAGTTGGAACAGATACTTATATTGATTATGAAGCTAATGTGAGTGATATTTTGTTAGTTTTTTTAGATTAAGAAATAGTTGAATTGTTTTTTTCTAGTATCAACGAGTACCATGTGCATGTGCTTTTCATCCAAGTAAGCTCATTGATTGAAATTCCTTGATTTCTGTTTAAAAATCTATGAGATTACTTTTAGTCAAAGTTTTCTAAAACATGATCTTACAGACCTCTGTACGAGTTTTTATATTCAAATACTAGACTCACAGCTAGATGTCGGGTTTTGTAACGGATCATACTCTATGGTAGAGTTTGAAGTACGTTTCGGATCCAAAAATGTTGAACTCAACTTACTTGGATATTTTGCTGAGATTAGAGCAGTCTAAAAGAAGATCGTCATCGTGAGCCTTTGGAGCCAAGTTATCATTGTTTTATTGAATTCTTGATCGAATTTGAGATATATACCAAAAAAATCAAAAGAGCAAAATTTCGATGTAAACTTTTGCTTATAAATAGTTCGAATGATCTATACAATATTCTCAAAATTTCAGCTGAAAAAAATGTTTCGTTGTCGAGATATTGAATTTTTAAGTGAACTCAATTAATGTTTGGATATTTTATAGATCATTTTACCTAACTATAGGCAGATTTTTCCACAATATACCGAAGATTGGGTAAAACTATGATAATTCGACTTCAAAGATCCATGTGGACGAATGCTTTTAGACTTTTACTAGTCTCATCAAGACACTCTTGCAAGCTCACTATGACCTCAAACGCCAAGTATAAGATCGAATGATGCCTTCGTAAGATAAAAATACTTCTATGATGATCAACATTTCAATTCGATAGAACTTGCACTAAAACTTTGTACAATTCTTTCATAATTACTATAAAAATGTCGATTAATTTTGTGTAGCATCTTCTCAAAGACTATATTTTAAAATCTATGTTTGCTATTCACAGATTATTATTTCAATAATTTTAATCCATTTCGAACATACAGTAGTAAAAAATTTTATTTTTTAATAAAATTGATAATTCTATCGAGAGAAAAAAGTTTAGTTTTTCACATTGCAATTTCAATTGTCATACAACTGTCATTCTAATTTTATGTCTTCATTGAAATGAATTAGAACATTTAATAGTTAAGGACGATTATATCGAAGTAATATTGCATGTGTACAAGGATTAAAGTATTCCTGCTCATGACTATCCTCGATTCTCTACAATTGATCATGCAATTTGTATTCATTTACTTTAATTAGAAGCGAATAAAAGATTTTGACGTATTTTTTTTTTCGAAGTTGACAAAAACATCAGATTATTCAATAATAATTTGATTGAACTATTGTTTTTTGTTTAGATCATGATTTATGTGCAATCAGTTATGATAATGGTAATATTCGTCTTTATTCAACCTTTAATGATATACTTAAATTAGTTAAAGGTAAATTTTAAATATTCAATCAAACTACATAGAAAGTGTCATTACAATTATATTCAGATGAAATATATATATATATATATATATATATAGGCATATAAACTTAAAGATATACAAGGTTATTCTTGTTTGACTAAGTTGTTAATAATTAGACAAATTCTAAGGTTACTTTGTTTGTGCTGCGCAACGCCATAAAACATTTTTATGTATTTGATATTTTGTAACTTCACAACAGTATCATATTTATTTTTCTTTTGTTTGCTTGACATTTACAAACGAAAAAAAAAAATTGCATATACTGGTATCAACAAACTATAGAATCATTTTTTTATGCTGTAATAAAAAAAATATGAAATTTGTTGATGACTTTTAACGGAAAGCTTTTGACATACTAGTTGAGTCATTAACAGCATTACGATAAAAAAAAATGCAATATCTCCGCGTCGGTTTAATCAAATGGACTGACTTTTTAGTTAGTAGTAGAAATTTAATCAAAGTTTTTTTTTTCCATACGAATAAACCAGTGTTTTATCTACGTTTTTTTTCTTCCAGAGAGATGATTTAAAACTTCTGGAGCGCAAACACCTATTCTTGAGAGTATAGACACTAGAGCTCGTTGGTTTGGTGCCGTCACATCCGATTAGATTCAGCTCTAAAAATTTTCTGTTAACCGGGTCCAAAAATTTTGGACCCGAGGAGCACCGTCCTTTCGACTCCTACGCTGGATATAATACTGGGATAAAGTAAATCAATACTACTATTAAGTATTATTGTTGATGTCAAGAAAATAATGTTACATTTTATCAAGTAAGAAAAATACTTATGTAATGTTTCATAGATAATGTTCAATTGTTATCTAAGAGAATAATAATAAGAAACCAAAACGAACTATATTAGCGAGATAGTTATTTTAAAAGTTCATCGTTACAAAATTTCGAATTTTCACATATGCAACATTGATTTTTTTCAAGAAAGCTGATTGTAAAATTGCTTTATGTGCATTAATATTGTTCGTTTCAACTTCGTCTCCTTATTCTCTTAAATAACAATTGAAAATTACTTATGACACGCTTCATATATTTTTTTTTTCTTATTTAACAAGAGTATTTGTTTAAATTATCCGTATGAAAAAAAAAAAGGTTGAAATACATACGCTCCGATCACTAACCAAAGAAAAAAGTCAGTTCATTCGAGTGAATCGAAGCGAAGATATTGTATATTCTTTTTATCGTACTACTATTTATTGCTAACCCTGTAAATCAGATATGAACGATAGAAATTTTGACATTGAATTTAAAACTTTTTAATATTTAATTCATAAATTAGAATTTCAATGTCATTCACAATGTATATTTGCTATTGCTTGGATAAGTGATCGATTATTATGTGCGACATCAGGTGATCAAATAACAGTAATTTATGATATTGAAACAGGTGATGAAATTGATCTATTACGTGGCCATACAATGAGTGTACGAAGTGTATGTAAATTATACTATAGTACAAGTAAGTTAATTGAAAATTATTACGATTTTAAGAATAAAAAATAAGATGAATTTTAGATGTTCTAGCAACAGGTGGTCGAGATTCAATTATTAATATTTATGATCGACGTTATTCAAAAAAGCGTAAGTAATTTTTTTTTTGCTATATAGAATTTCTTATTCAATTTTTTTGCTTTCTTGATTATAGAAGGAGCTTTATATCCAATTAGTTCAATTGCTTGTGCTCATATAAGTTCAACAGCATTACAAAAATCAGCACGGGTAAATTAGTTAAAATTTATTTATTAAAATAATTTGATTGATATTATTATTATTATTTTTTTTTTCTTTATAGAAAGATACACGTAGTGTAACAGCTATAGAATTTCAAGATGAACATAATTTATATTCATGTGCTTGTGCTGATAGGTAAATGAATAGTTAATCATATTCATTTATTTATTTATTTTATTTTGTTTTATTTTGTTAGTGCACTTAAAGTATGGGATCTTCGTTATACATATTCACGTTTAAATACAAATCATATGCCTAAACCAAAACGTATGTTATGTGTACCAATCGATGATGTTAAATCAATAAATCGTCTTGTTGGTTTTTCTGATATGAAAATGGATTCAAATCGAATGATACTTTTTGCTAATTGTACAAATAGTAAAATATATCAATTTGATCTTCATGAAAATGCTTATTTATCTTCATCAAAAATTCAATCTTATACAGGTCATCGTGTTGGATCATTTAATATTAAAATAGCTCTTAGTCCATATGATCAACTTTTATTAACTGGTTCTAGTGATTTTTATTCATATATTTATCGAGTAAGTTTTTAAATTCTAATACAACAAATCACGAATCAGATAAACAAAAACAAAAAATACTCTATCTTCATGAATTATAGAAAAATTTCTAAGAAATAAAGACATACTATCTCTACATGTTAGTATCTTGCAATCGGGTTGTGCGTCGGACTCGATCTGGCAATTAATGAAATTTCGACACTTCAAAATATTTTTATTTTATTAAACTTCTAATTTTTATAAAAGCATAGGAATGAAAATCTGAACATTTTAGTATACTCGAAAACAGATCATAGAAGTAGAAACCGATATTGATTTTTTTTTCTAATGAAAATTCATCTAAACACATGATGAGGAACTATATGACGAAATAATTGAATACATGAAGTGGAAAATGAGTTATCAAAAAGATGAACATATATTATCGTGATGGAAAAAGCATTCATGTATGTGTGCAGAATTGTGACGTTTGACACCAACACTGAATACCATTCTAGCATTATCAGCTACAAGCAAACGTACACTTAGCGAAATCGATTGGATTTTAGAAACAGAAAGAAAACAAGTGAATTTTGAATCATTTACTTTTTTGTGGAATTTGAGATGATCTCCTTTACTTTTTCATATAAAGTAAAAGTTTGAAAACTGTGCTATGACTGTGAAAGTATCTGTCCGATATCGATTAGCTTCGATTCAGGTGCGAAAAATCATATGTATATAGAACACTGTTACATATGATAAGATTGCTTCTAACGTCATTATCTCTTATTTAAATACACAGTACTAGTCAAAAATATAAGGCAAACGTAATGTTGATTTTTCCTACGATATCAATCGTTAAATTCAAATCCAAATAGTGGTTTGAATAGCTAATGAAATTCTTTATCAAATATATTCCATACTGATGTTTCATAGATGAATTATAAGAGGAAGATTACTGAAAAATCGAGCATGGTAGTTTTCAGGTCTTGGAAGACTGTATGAAAATCCGTTTTAAAGAGCACAAAATCCCCCCAAAAAAATGAGACGTTGTCACATTCTCTATGAGAATGTAAACATCACAAAAAAAAGCATTTTTTTTACCAATACGATGGTAAATTTCGCCTTATAATACTTATAACTGGTTATGGGCAGGTTGTAGAAAATGTGACAGCCCTTCATTTTATTCAGAATTTGATGCTCTTTAAAATGATATTTTTACAAACTAATTTTCATACTGTTTTCCCGGAATCTGAAAACTAACGTGTTGAGTTTTACAGAAACCTTCCTCTCTTAGTCCACCTATAGAACTTCAGTATGAAATGCATTTGATAAAGAATTTCATTAGTTATTCAAACCACTATTATAGATTTGAATTCAATGCTTAGTATTTTAGGAAAAGTCAAAAATGCTTTGGTCTTATTTTGTTTTGTTCTTTCATGAAATCTTATAATCGAACACTTATTTTTAACTTTCTTTTGTTTTTTTTTACTTAGATTAATCAACCATTGATAGAACCTATGAAAATTGAACATAATTTTGAAGAAGTAACTGCCGTTGCTTATCATCCAACAAATCCATTTTCAGTATGATTTAATAAATAATAAATAATGTTTTTTTTTTTGTGTTTAATTTTAAAATAGTTTATAACATGTTCTGATGATTTTCAAGTTCGTCTTTGGTCTTTATCATTTGATAATGAAATTTCTACATCATCATGTTCATTATCGAATACTCATTCTGTAAATAATCAATCACATAATATTGTTACACTTCTTCGTCATCGTCAATATGGTTTAACAAATCGTAAATCAATTCTTTCATCAGTTTTTCATACAACTTCTTCATCAATACGTTTATTATCATCGACATATGAGCGAAAATTTTCTTTATCAAATCAAACAATATATAATAATAAAAATTTAAGTAGTCGAAAACGAACTGTATCAGAAAATGATGAAAATCGTCGTGATCATACAGATGAAAAAACATCAAAACGTTTATGTCGTTCATCAGAATGGATATTTGGTGATTCACAATTAACATTATTTAAATCCATATCAACTATTGATAATCGTACATCAATTATTGATGAACAACAAACTACATATTTGTTATCAAAATCGGATGGATATTTATCAAATAGTAATAATCATAATAATCGACGTTATTCATCAGATAAACAACAAACAATTGATACACTTTCAACTCTTGTTCTTTCCCAGTGAATAAGCAATTTCAGTCAGATTTATATATATATATATATATATACATTGCCTTCTTATTCAATGTAAATGAGTCAGATTTTTCTTCATATATGCATAGATATATATATTTTTTTTTCTTTTTTTGTTTGAACAAAAATAATGAAATTCGATCATATATTTCTAGATTAAAATGAAAATTCGATTACATATAGCTGCTATCAATTCGAATAATATAAATAATAACCCATTTCAACCTGGTTCCAGTGACGTTGATTGGTGTGAACCGAATTATGTTGTCACTGAATATATTGCTGAATTTTGGAATACAGTACGTATATAATTTTTTTTTGTTCTTGGCTCTATGAAAGTTATTGTATTTCTGTTACATAACATGGAATGAATAAGACTAAAATAATATTACTGATTCGATTATTTGCTATATTTGTGTTGCAGGCTAACGTTCTAAATCTATCGGTTAAAGGTAACTTTTTTGTCTTTTTTTTTCATTTTGGGATTGCTATTTATACATATGTGAATGCATGATCATATATTTTATTATATTTTTTGCTTACAATTTATGATTAATTAGCTCATTTTTTTTATGGATAAAAAATTTATTAGATTACGAATATATGTATATTTGTAGACATTTTAGTTCTCAATTTATAAATATATATATATACATATTTGATTTTTGAGGTATCCAATATATTCTTCTTTTTGGTTCCACCATTAATGATTATTTTATTTGCATCTTATTCAAAACGAGTTGCTAATGGAATAACAATACTTTGGATTTTATTAATTGTTATTGGCATTGGTTCTGTTTATTTTCATGCTACACTTAGTCTTGTATGGTTTTTAATTACAAAAAAAAAAAAATTAAAATATTAAATAAGAATTTTTCTAATGTTTTCTTAGGCTGGACAGTTAGTAGATGAAATAGGTATTCTTTGGGTACTTATGGCAGGTTATGCATTATTTTTACCATCAATATATTCACCTCCATCACTTCGTGTTCAACGGTATTTTATTTTAATTTTTTCTTCTTCTATTCCTATAATATTTCGATAGTAATTAGTTGAGTACATATATTACAGTGTGTTTTATACATGGAGTTTGAAAAATCGTCCACTACAGTAAGATTAGCTGTCGAATTACAAAAAAGTTATATAGACTAAGCATGGCTTGATATGATGCGCATAATTTTAAATCAAACTAATGATTATATTATGTTTATTTATTTTTATTTAGACATAGATTTACTATTAGTTGTATTATATTGACTCTTATTGTTACTTGTTTTGGTGCTGTTTATCCATATGCAAATTCATTTGTTTTAATGATTCTTGGTCTACCTGCAATTGCTTTTATAGTTATACATGTGTCAAAGTATAAATAAAATATTTATCTTTATTTTTATTCTCATTATTAATGAGTTTTTATATTTGTAGATGCGATAATCGTCGTATTAAAAATCTTGGCATTCATTGTGTAGGTATGTGGGCTATTGCTGTAACAATATGGATATGTGATCGAATGTTTTGTTCATTTTGGATTTCAATATCATTTCCTTATTTACATGCTATATGGCATGTCATAATTTTATTTAGTAGTAATGAAGCTATTGTTATATGTGCATATTTAGTTATAAAATATCACTATCCACAAGCAAATCTTGTTGTATATGCATGGCCAAATGAAGAATGGGGATGGTTTACTTTACCATATTTAAAATTTCATGATGATACTAATTATTTAGCATCACCAACGAATAATTTTGTAACAAAGTCTATTGTTTAATTTTTCATTGTGTTTTTTTCTTAACATATACATATTGCTGAAATAGGTCTTCTGTGATATGAAAATGCATTTTGTTGACATGCGTATAGATGAAATTTGCTTTTCTTCTAATCGTTGTCTTCGTCTTTAGTATTACTAACATGTTTGTTTATTTTTGCCGATTAATTATTTCATATAGTTTTATTATTTAAATCGTCCAATATTTATATTGTAAAACAGTGTGGTTTTGTTTTTATTTATATAATAGATTTTTTCACGTTTGATGTTATTAGACAATAATAAAAGTTAAATTAATAATAAAATCGATATACTTCATACAAATTGGTGGGTTTTTATGTAAGGATATTTTTTAAAATATAAATTTAAGAAGATTTTTTAATTGATTAGGTTATTAAAGTTGGTTATCGAGCAAACATTAATAGTTTATACATCTATCTTAATTTATTAATTTTGAGAGGTCAAGAAAACAAGTATTCGAATTACAGAAATCTTATTGAACTATATGAAATCTTGAAAAGATAGTAGTCAATAATGACAGTCAAAACTAGAAATGTGCAGGATCAAGTATGTATTAGGTTCAGTACCGGTAATTTCTTTTCTTTTAGTCTTCTCGTATAGGTTTGTTTTGATAGGCATGATTTATATGATGATTCATTCAAAACAGCAGAACATTTTGTTAACTTTTTTTCTCATTTTTTTGATCTCCATTCGATTTCTCGGGAACAAAACTAATCCTGCGCATCTCTATTCAGAACATATAAATAATATACTTATGAATATAACAATAGTGTTATTAAATTTAATCGAAAGATTATTATTCCATTTATTCTAGAAAAAATATTTTCTGAAAAATGGGTTTTATTCTAATATTTATTGATTAAATAATCCAAACGTCAATAAATTCACTTATGATTGTGTAGATTATCATTAAATATACTCTTGTTTTCATTCCTTGCTGATAAGAAAATATTCTCAATTGTCCAATCACTTTCCACTTGAGATTATTGCCATTCGATCAGTTATTGCATTGTGTACCTTAGCGACTGGGATTAAAGGCGCTAAACGACATTAATAGCAAGGCTCAGAAGGCTCTAGAACATTCCAGAGCCTTTCCTGTAATTTAAATAGCCAGAATACGTTTTTCAATATTGTAAATAATGTAGCTTTTGAGTTTTGCATGGATAAACGATTACATGATAGATATTAAGAATGATAATTTGACTTTCCATAACTGTCATATGACAAACACAAAAATATGAACTGATTATGTTGTAACTTTCGGGAATAATCAATACCAACATTTCTGAGTTCATCGAGATATATAATAGATCGTCAAGATTTGTTGTAGAAATAGTGAATGTGCACAATAGACTTAATTGTCCATTAAATGAATGGTTAGACTAATAATAATAAGTTATGAAAATAGAATTTTAAAAAAAGACAATAAATACCAAGCAAACAGGAACAAGAAAAGTAAAAAACAAGGAAATTTCTGTTCGAAATGTAGAAATAAAAAAACATGGCGTTTGCTGATAACTAATTATCATTGGAAAAGAACTATCGTCTTTTAGAGATTGTACATTTGCGTATTTTGTACTACTATAATGAAGTTAAAGAAGACATGTAAGTTTCACATTTAAGCCCTTTTACAGCTGTACTAAGAAGCTTTACGTAGTGAGGATCAGTTCGGTTATTGAGGTGACCGACTTTTGTAGCATTGGATTTTTTCTGTCGTATAATTGTAGTTGTTATTTTTTGATATTATCGAGAAAAATAATAGTTGAAGCAATAGCTTCTGTGCATGCCTCTTCGCTGCTGGCTCATGTCGGGATTTTGTTCAGTTGAATAGCTGAATCCATATACATTGTTAATAATAGTTTTACAACTATTTCCATATTAAGATCAGATTTAAATAAAATTTTATCATTAATATTTTGACCAACATTTATAAATATTCGACGAAGACATTTGTTTTCAATTAAACCCGGTTCTTCAGCTCTTTCAGCTATTAACATAACGTTACTTATCTCACTAAATGTATACAAAAGCTGGTTAGAACTAGTAGTAGAGATTTTATTTGTTGGTTGATCGAGATCAACATTTATGAAAAAAATAAAGTTCATTAAGGATACAATAGTGAATTGACTGATTAGTTAATGAAGATCTTCATGTAGGCTTCAAAAGTTGTCATTTTCTGTCATGATGATCTCAAAAAGCGAAAGTAAAAAAACACTCGTTCAAACGCAAGAATGAAATCTCATAATTGAATTAGTTTTCTGATCTTGAATGTGGCGTTTCATTTTCTTACAGAAAGCTACCCAAAAAGGTCAGTTTTTGTGAACTTCATTTTTAAAGTTTCGAGATTATTAAAATGAAGACAGCAATAAAAATTAGCCGTTAGTCTCCGTGAATATAGCTGACGATAAATAATCCATTAGAGAGAGGATCAATCGAAATTATTTATTTCAATTATGTTTATATCTGTGAATAGAGTTCTGTTAGTAATGAATTTAATGAACATAATTTTTCGATTTACAGCAACAAAATAGACGTTCTGATTCGAGTAAAACTTGTTTATCGTTTGAAGAAAAGCTTTTCATATCCGATCGTCGAAACGATTATTCATTTCTTAGAAAATATCAATTTATCCGTCAATCGGTATTGAAAGCTTTCTACTACATTTTGTAGATGAGTGAAACTCGAATATCACCTGGTTATCATAAGTAGTTCGCCCACACTAGTTACTTTGTGTGGGTGATCAACTCATTTCAATTAAATTTATTTTTCACAAGGTATGAATTAAAAAGTTCGCTAAATAGTTAGTTTATTAACTAAATTTTAAAAAACGACAAATAAATATCACAAAACAAAATCATTCTCAGAATTACAGAACTGAAAAGTCATATACATACTAGTTAACTATATGAATGCTAATCTGGAACAAAAAAAAAGGACTTGATCCATATTTAAATGGTACATTTATTTTCTCCTGAACATCTACCAGATGTAACCGGGTTTGTTTTATCACGTATATCAATTTTTGGTTGTTCTATTTGTTTAGTTTTTTGATTTATTTCCATATAATCATTATGTGTAACTAATGTTCGTGCAAAATCAATAAAACAATTTTCAATATTTTCATTTGTTTTTGAACTTGTTTCAATATAAGATAAATTTTTTGAATCACTATATGTTTTTATTGTTGAATAAGAAACTACACGTTTTGATTGTAAATCAGATTTTGTACCAACAAGATAAACAGGTGTTTGATTTATACAATATTTTTTTATTTCTTCAAGCCAATTATCAACATGATGAAAACTTTGAATATCTGTTATATCAAAACAAATTATAACACCATGTGCACCACGATAAAATGTTGATACAACACATTTAAAACGATCTTGACCAGCTGTATCCCATACTTGTAATTTACAACGTTTTGTATCAACATTAATTGTTCGAAGTTGAAAATCTATTTTTTATTTTTAGTTGAAATTTTTCGAAGAAACGAAAACATGAAGAACAAAAAAAACAATAATAATTCAAAATTCTTACCAACACCTATAGTAGCTAAATATTCATTCGAAAAATAATTGTGAGTAAATCGTTGTAAAATTGCTGTTTTTCTATGGAAGTTAAATTTTTTTTTTTTTATAAAAGAGAATGATTGAAAATAAAAGTTTATATATACCCAACTCCACTATCACCAATAATTAATATTTTAAATAAATAATCATATTCAACATCATTTGAATATTTTGATGACATGATTGTTCGTAAAATAAATAATTCTGTTTTCGGTTGTTATCTTAACATTCTTTTTATATAGGCAGTTTTTCATGTGATAGTCCTATTACGTAAATTGTTGACGTAGACACGTAATGAATAGGAATGACTCGACATTTTGAAACATCGTTCTATTAATTTTCGGAATGTTTACAGAAGAAAACAAAAAAAACCACGAGTTTCTTTTTACAATTGTTTCGTATTAGGAAGTCACAGAATAGGTTGTAAGATAATTTTAATATTCTTCTACGTCGACAGAATTTTTTCTCGTTTATGGGTATGTTTTTTTAAGTTGAACTTATTTTAGGTAAAGCTGAATGATTGTGTAGTAAAAAGTGTTTCTAACCAAGAAGAATTTTTTTTTTCACGATTCTTTATTTTTCAATTACATCCTGATTTGATTACTTCTGAGAGGGCTACCTCAATTGACATCCATTGTTTGAGCTCATATTATATTGAACTCATAAGTGAGTTTCAGTAAGACTAGCCAAAGTCTAAAACGATTCATTACCATGAGCTTTTGGCGCCGAATGTTATCATCTGTTGACTGGATTTTCGACCCATTTTAGATCTTCCCAGAAAAACTAAATAATAAAGCTTCGATATAAAATTTTACCTATAGATAGGTCTAATGATTCTTCGAATATCTAGAAAGTTTCAGTCGAAAAGAGTGTTTCTTCATTGAGACATTAAATTTTCAGATAAACTTAATTTTTGTCGAATGTCTATAGTAAACGACTATTTTTAGGAAACTTATGCCTCGATGAACGAACATTCTTTTCGGCTGAAACTTTCAAGATATTCAAAGAGTCGTTAGGCGCATCTATAAGCAAAATTTTAGATTGAAAATCCAGTCAATCAGTCATAACCCGATGCCTAAGATTCATAGAGATGAACCCGTTCAGGCTTTTGCTAGTCTCATTGAGACTTGTTTTTGGATCCAATATACGCTCAAATGGCAAGTGTCAGTTGGGGTAGTTTCCTGGTCAATATTTTTCTGTAACGGCTAAATTTGTTTTTCGATTACATTTCTAAAATCTTTACAAAACAGAATAAAACTACATTTTGATTTCTTTCAATATACAGGACGTGTTATAAGTCTTGAAGCTCAAGAAAATTAGTTTATATATAAACGAAGACTAATTCCTAATAAAATGTATCTTATTGAGTATTAAGCACTCATGTTAGTCTTTTAAATGCTATGTTCTCTTGTAATAATAAAATATGAATATAAGAATTTTTTGATAAATTTTTCAAAAATCAATGAGTAAAAAATTTTATCAGAAGAAAAGGAAAAAATTTTTTTATTTTCTAAATACAAATGTTAATTATTCTCCTCGTATTTGCTCTTTAAACGTTTTCCACACATTTTCGACAATGTATCGAATTTCAATGCTGTGACTAATCCATGAGATTTGTTGAGTCTTAGAGTGTGTTACATTTGTGAATAATGAATTTGCGTGTGAATTCATGCAGTTTTGCAATGTCGTTCAAAAAAAAAACTGTTGCGATAGACATCTGTGATTTCAAATCAGCAAATTTAGCATTATCATCTTAAGATGAAATTCGATTATTAAATAATTCATTAATAGTTTGTAATGTAATTTTTGTTCTTTATTTCAAATCTGTTTTATCTTGAAATCGATTTTTTGTTTAAATAAATCAAGCGTATAACTTACCATTTATATAAGTTCTTTCTTTTGTGTTTATTTTTTGCATTGTTTTCGTAACTATGAAATATACTTAGTATGTTATTGGAAGATTTTTAAAAATTTATATTTGCTGACTTCGAAAAAATTTATCATCACATTATTATGTGCATATTTTTATTGTTACAAGAGAAGTTGTCATTCAACAGTGTTTCATTGAAAAGAGTGACATGAGTATTCAAAGTTCATTTACATACATTCGGCTAAGAATCAGTTTCTGCCTGCGTATACATTGATTTTATCAAGCCTCAAGACTTATGAGATGCCTTGTATATAGTAGCGAAGTCTATCATTAACATTGAAAGCATATACCCTTTTTCAGCTTTAGGCAGTAGTTCAGCCCTTACTTGGAAATTTTTTCTGGCTCCACTACTACTGATATACATCGCCTTGGTGATGATGTATAGGTTGATTACAGTATTTTTGGTAGGTTTGCCTTATTTTCTGTATCTTAATAAAACCTTAGATGTTTCGTATTTTGATATATTTAGATAAAACGAATTTGAACTGTAGAGAAAAGTTGAATTTTACTGTTGAAATTTCTCATACTTTTTTTTTGCAAAAAAAATTTTACATGAAATAATAGACGTAAATCAAGCTAAAATGATATGAATGGGCAGATGGATAAAGACTCTATTTGAGTATATATTAATTTTAGAAGATTTAGATACTTTGACAAATAAAATGTTCTCGAGAAAACATCGATGAACTTCAATGAAAAAAGTTCTTGTAGAAATTCTTAGAAAATCAAGAGATTTATAGTAAAGATAAAGAATGAGTCCAATTAAAAATATTTAAATTGATAGAAAATTAAATGTTTTAATGCTCAAATCGATAAAATTAACCGACAAGTTATCCAAAATTTCCGGACAAAATATAAGACAAATGTGATGAAAACTGTGTGGTTCAATAGAGCCACCAATATTCTATCTAATCATATTAAAATAAAAAACATTTGACATTTTATAGAAATACTACAAACTGGACAAAACTATAAAAATCAACAGAATCAAATTATATTTCATCAAAAGATAGAATTAATTCATTTATGTAAAGTTATGCTTAGAGTAACACTTAGCTTGACAAACTATAGATCGTTTTTCTGCTTAAAGACTATATCTGATAAAAAAAAACTGAGTTTTAAATTTTTTTATAAATAGATAATTGTTAAATTTAGAATTAGATTTTTTTTTCCTTGGCGCCGATTTTTTTGTTTGTATCCATCATGATGTACAAAAGTTAAAAACAAACACCAACAAGAAAATATTTCTACTCTTCTATATTTCATGTCATTAATCTCTTCAATGTTTCTAATATTAACATAATTCATTTTGCAAAAATTGAATGAACTTTATTCATCCGACAATTTTTCTATTGTTCGTATTTTGATCAAATGTCTTTTTTCCTTTTATTTCTTTAATAATATTTTGCTATTTACATTTAATATTTACTATTCTTTGGTTTATATTACTAAAATTAAATCCTTTGAATATATGAACTAATTAAAAGAAAAACGTATATATACACAATAAAATTCTTCTATTTATATTATGTGTAATAAAACTGTTTTCTTTTTTATTGATTCCATATTCACGTAGTACACGTTTAAGATCATTAAGAATTAATATAACGGGTTAGCGAAAAGTAATTTGCAAAAAATTGGGTGACAATCAGGATTTTGTATTCTTTCTGAATACGACTTCAAAATTTTTGTAAACTTGTAAGTTAAGTTTGGGCGAGCCTCAACGCATCCAAACTTGTTCAAAATAGAAGCGAACACTATTTTGAATACAGAAAACGAAAGAGCATACATTTCTCTATAAAATGGTAGGCTAATGATTAGTTTATTGCAAGTCATTTGTCAACAATGAGTATTCTGGTAAGGTATATGATTTTATTTTTTCGAATTCTATGGAAAACAGAGTTGCAATGTGAGGTCGACCATCCTTGAATAATTTTTCTGAAAATCTTGATTCTTATATCACTTTTTTAGAAAACAATCTGACCTTTAATTGTATGCAAAAAAAACATCAATTTTCTCCATCCAAACTTAATTTTTGCGTCTCTAAAACGTCGATTCATAACATTTGTAAACCAGAAGTTTTAGAGAAATGTTTAATACTGTATTCGGAAATAATACAAAATTTTGATTCAAACTCAATATTTTCTGTTTTTTTTTTTACTGAAATAGAAAATAATTTTACAAATTAATTATCAACTTTTTTGCAAAGCATATTGTCGTTACTATTTCTAGTATAACAGTTTTCAAATTGATCAAATATTGAAATTCATATATCTGAATTTTCGTCTTCATCTGCCAACGAAAGATAATTGAATTTTCTCTCGTTTTTTTTTATTTGAGACAAATAATGACTAGTGATACAAGAAGGACAAAGTGAATATATATTTTGCTAGGATAAAGGATATTTATCATAACGCAAAACGCTACATAAGTATAAACGTTTACAACAAAGTGGGAAAAGGAGAAAGTTTTTTGTTCTGAGATTTGATTGTTCATCCATTTTAAAGTACTAAACATTTGTCAGCAAGAAAAAAGAGATGATACCATTGAATACCATGATAAACAAGACCTGATACCATTGAAATGGAATGAAATAGACTGAATTTATTATTAACTGTACGATATTTTGGATCATCACGTAATAATCGTTCAACATCTTCATTTGTCTAAATAAAATAAAAATCATATATTAATTTGAATTATTTATTCAACAAGAATATAAAAGAACAAAAAAAAAAAAAAACATACTTTTGCAGCTTGTAAAAATTCAATATTATTTCGATCAAACATTAAATTAGTAACCAACGGATTAAGTAGAAGACTATTTAATTCAGCGGCAGCTAATGCAACAGCTAATGCAACACCCTATTTAAAGAGGAAGATAAAAAAGAAACAAAACGGTTTTCTTTTTGTTTTATCAATAAAAATTGGTATTTTCTTTATTGAATACGAACTAAATTTGTTGCTTCTTTTGACCATGTACTAACTGGATGACGAAGTAAAAATGTACCTAAACTAAGACTAGCCAAAACTGTTGATGAAGCAAAATAAACCGTTGATAAATGTGATTGAACAGTAGCAAATTCATGACGAGTTAACATTCGTTGAACAGCACGACCTACGGTTTTTTTTTATTCAATAATGAATAATTTTAAAAAATATATTTAAAATCTAACCATGCACAGCAGTCACCCAAAAACTAATACCAAAACCACCTAAAAGATATCATTGAGAAATTTTAAAAATAGAAAAAAAAAAGAAAATTTTTACCAGCAACACCAAGTAAATGTAAAAATGAAATATTCGATGATGATGGTACAGGTTTTGTTTGTGAAAATGCATAACCAACATAACCAACGGCACCCACTGCTGTAAGAAATGGTGGAGCTAAATACCTAAATATGAATAAATAATTAAATTCTATTAACACAAAAAAAAGAATTTCGATAATTACCAAGCTTGTGGCCATGTTTTTTTGTAAACATCATGAATAGTATCTTCAATTTTGCTTATTTGAGAACCCATTTTTCTAGTTTTTTTAAAAATCTTAATCAATAACAGAAACGAAAAACCTTCTACAATATAGAAATAATAATAAAATAACAAATGACGTCGGTTTTTTTCTCCTTTGTGAGCTCTTTTGACCTAGACGACTGAGAAAACATGTAGCGCCACCTTCTTTTATAGTTTTACATATAAATGAATACACATTAATAATTTATAAATTATTAGTTTAAACAATTTATTTAGACTTCTATGAAAATCAAATTTATTAAATTAAGAAAAAAAAACTCGTTCTTAGAAAAAAGCGACATCTAATTCGATCAAAAATATATCCAATGAAGTAATAAGATGGAAAAAATTAATTGATCAGGTAGCTTATTTAAAAAAACATTCATACTTTTTTTGTTTGAATCTAATAAAAACTCATCGTCAGCCGGCAGACATTATCAAATTTCATATCTTAGCAATAAGAAGGTTCTAGAGTTGGTTCGAGGCAGCCAACATCGGAAGGGTAGAGAGATGTAAAAGATTTCTTCGTTTCTAAGAGAACGCGCAAAAAATTTTCGTCTCCGCTCGGAAAATAAAGTATTCTTGACCGGGAGGATGTCACGCACATTCACAGTCGGACAAATCCTGGTAGATTCTCGTGAAGAGGGAAAAAAATTTTAAAGAATTTTTCCTTTTGATTCCGAATGAGTTGAAATAGAGTCCAAAAATGAATTGTACCTAAACTGTCAAATTTCGCGTCGCTTTCGGATTGCTATTAAACATCAGTAAAACAATTTCAATCAAATTATGAGATTGTTTTGCATTATGTATAATATAATTGATAATTTTTAGATTATTAAAATGACTTTATCACAATTGAAAGTTAGTTTTCTTGGTCTTGGTAATATGGGTAATGCTATAGCAAAAAATATTCTCAACAAAGGTTTTCAACTTGTTGTTTGGAATCGTACAGCTTCAAAAGCAAATGTAAATAAATTAAACTAATATAATAAAGTGAGAGTAAAAAAAACAAAAACAAATTTTTTTGCTTTCTAGGATTTAGTGAATGCTGGTGCACGTCTAGCAACAACTCCTCGTGAAGCTGTTGCAAATGCTGATGTTATTATTAGTTGTCTATTTGATGATAAATCATGTCTAGATGCTGCTCAAGGTTAGTATCTTGAGTTTTCAAAAAACAAAAAAAAATATTATAAATTGAATTCTAATTTTCAGGAGAAAATGGATATCTAATGGAAATTCAAAAAAATGCAATACATGTCAATACTACAACTATCAGTCCACAGGTTGCTAATCAACTTGAAACATTACATAAACAACATGGAGCTTATTATATTGCAGGACCTGTATGTATTATTATTCGATATAGGATTTATCTGAAGCTTTAGTTTTCTATTAGGTTTTCGGTCGTCCAGATGTCGCCGCTCTTGGAAAATTAAAATCTTTCTTAGGTGGTAATCTTGAAGCAATTGAACGTGTTCGACCTGTAATTGAAACATATTCTGGTGGTTCAATAATTATTGTTGGTAATAATCCAGCACACGCAAATGTTATAAAATTAACAGCAAATATGATTCTTGTTGCAAATATTTCTCTATTTGGTCAAGTATATGCATTTAATGAACGTTGGGGTATTGATCATGATATGACTCATGAAATACTTGGTACATTTTATTCACATCCAAGTTTATTAGCTTATGAAGCACGTGTACGAGATAGAAATTATGAAAGACCAATGGGAGAAGGATTTGGAGTCGAAGGAGGTTTAAAAGATGTTAATACAATGTTAAATACTGGTGATCAAGTTGGTGTTCCTCTTCCATTTTGTAGTATTATGAGAGAACACTATGTTTCAGCAATTGGAAATGGAATGGCAGACATGGATTGGTCAGCGTTAGGTGATATAGCAAGACTCAATTCTGGATTACCTTTACAAACTCAACAAAAGAAATAAGAAATACATTGAGATCATTCTAAGATTTTTATTCCTTATCAATAATATTCATAATTATTTTGTTTCCACTATTATTTTTTAACAGCTCCTTTAAATAAATGAACTTTCTATTGAATAATCTCTTGCTCAGAAAGATATAATTTTTAATTGTTTCGAAGAATCTATAAGAAATATTAACATTGTTTTGGATCATTCAATAAATATTTCGATACGTCGATGTCAACTTCCGATAAGTCAAGTACTTGGTATTATGAAAAAATCGAAAATTGATCAAAATAAAAAGGATTTTGTCCAACATATGCCTCATTCTCGAGCCGTTCAAGCCTATCAAATATGGATATATGAAGAGATTCTAATATCTAAATTAAATATGAACTATTATTCTTCCGTGGTAATCATTTTTTAAATTCAAAACAAAAACAAAAATACTTGAACGATTGCATTTGATTATATTAACATTTATTACTAACAATGGAAGAGTTTGTGCTAACAAGCGAATTGGTTGGCGTTGACATTCTCAAAAGATCACTCTCACGGAGAAACTAACAAATTTAAAATATGAGCTGCTTCTGACGCATCGAAACAGAAATACCGAGTTTTTTTACTTATGCATTACGTGCATATAGAAACATGATAATATACGAATTAATCACAGCAGCTTTTAAAATAATCATTAGATCTCTTCAGAAAACGAGTTTTCAAACTCTTGGTGAGCTTTATTGACGATATTTATACTTCTCTAGATACTATTTCTTCTGATGTTCAGTAGTACCGAAGGATCAGAATACGCATGTCGCTCATTTTTTTATGGATCTCGCTGGATTAACTTTTATGTGCGGGAAGCCGCGGGCTCCCGCCAATCCTGCAAAAAGTGACGGGATCCTGCGAGTTCTCGGCCAAAAAAAACAGAATCCCGCCAAAATTATTTTATCCCAAGTGATTTCTTGTTCATTTAGTGAAGCGCATTCTATGGTTCTATGTTCAAAATAGATTCCAATTAGAATGTTTGTAGGTAAACAAATAATTGTAATCAATTCGAATATACTACCACTTACACCTAAAAAATACTAGCACGGTTAAAGACTGACTATTATGGACATGCTTTTTCATATTTATTTCTTTCCATTTAGATATATATACCATTAGAAGAGTCCAATGTAGAACAACCAGTTGAAGAAAAAACATTTGAAACAATAATGGTACGTTCAAACAGCTTTAAGCAGAGTAATAACATGTGAAGAAAGAACTTTTGAAACAAATGTTTTTCATGCCTTTTTTTTATACTAATCGATTGTTCATAAGATTTGTTTTCATTTTTTAAATGTATAAAAAATCCAAACAATGGAAATGATGTTGATTTATTATCAATAACTGGTGTTAAACAAAAGATGAATTTATATGTAACATCATTAATTGATATTGTTTTTACACGTGAAGAATTATTGCAACTTGATGCAACAAAAATCAAATTTAATGATGATTATAAATTAATACAAGGTTTGACTAAGAATTTATTTTATCTTGTTTGTTTAGCACAAATAATCTCATATATTGCTTATCATATCTCTTTGTTTAGAAGCTGTGCGAAATAAATTTCGATTATCAGATGATATTTTTAAAATTGAATGGTGTAATTTACATGAAACATTTCTAAACAAACGTCGGGATATTAAAAAGGGTTTAAAAAAACAAGGAACTACAGTTCAAACAAATCCGTCAATACAAACCTAAAACTTTATATCTTTTTTTTACGAGAACATGTACATATCAACATGACTGATGTGATCTCAACTAATTTATTTTTTGTATTTTTGCTTTTCTTATATGTTTAATGTGATAGAACCTTTCTTTTTTCTTCTCTTATTTCTCCATTTTCTTGCTTATTATACGCTTTGAACACGTAAAAAAATATAAAAATTAGTAAATAATAAACTGGATTCGACACGATAATACAGTGCTCAAATTCAACAATAAGGCAAAAAAACAAAAAAAAAGGATGAAGCTGAGAGTTGATCCACTGTCTTTGGTTTCTTAAGGCAATAATATAAGAGTAATTTCCTGTCGAGATTCCGGTATTTTTCGTGGGATTGTCGGGATCTCGCGGGATCCCGATATTTTTTGAGCGTGATCCCGCACAGGATCTCACAGGGTCCTGACGGAAAATTGCCGGAATGAAAGACATGGGCACCGATTATTATATACAGAAATGCGTCATTCACCTATATTTTCGACTTTATTTTGTATGAAACTAATAAAGTATAGAAAATAATATTTCAAAAGATCTGCTACAAACGGAGACGAAGATCTTCGATCAAATGATAATAGCAAAGGTGTTTTTTACATCAAGCACAAGCTAGAAGAGTTCTGAGTGTGGGTGAAGAAGAGACTAACACGCATATCCACATCCACACTCGGTCTTTCTGTTCCGGTGCATCAGAAGCAGCTAATATTTTAAATTTGTTAGTTTCTCAGTGAGAGTGATCGTTTGAGAATGTTAGCGCCAACCAATTTGCTTATCAGTACAAATCTTTTCATCGTAAGTTTTATTTTTATCCCAGATGAAAAAGTATGCCATTTGATAATCGATTGATTTGTGTGATAAAGTATAAAATTAACATTTAGAAATTTTTTCGAAGATTCAACACGCAAAAATTCGTTATGATTGTGTTTTTGTCAAGAACGCTGACAAATTTCAGCTTTAGTTCTCATCAATTGATGTTAGATATTGTTTAGAAATTTATGGAATTAAGGTGATATTTATGTCAAACATAAATAATTCTGCTTAAGACGTTCAAATAAAAGTAAAAGAAATTTCAAAATCGTTTTTTTTTTGAAGAAGTTTCACGTAATCGTAATCAGACTCAGCAATCGACACTGTTATTGTACTAGGTTTGTTTCTATTGGAGCAATCGAAAATATTCTTCCGATGTGTTTCTTTTCTTCGAATAATCAGAACCTTGATAGGTTTCGTCTCTTTGAGTACTCGAAATTGGAACAGAACGAACAAAAAATATATATTTTAAATTTTCGATCGGACTTCGCACCCTTCATATACCTTTTAAAGTCTGTTTGGGTTAATATGAACTTCGTTGAAAACTTTCGATTGAAATTCTATCCATAGAATAGAGATCTGTCGAGATTTTGAAGTTAGAAAAATATTTCCCTTTGAACAAAAATATCTTTTTTTTTAAACTGTGACTTTATTTTATTTTGTTTTTTAATAAAGATTTTAATGATTGTTTCTACGAGTTTGTCATGTTGAAATTAAAATAACAGACTAAATACGTAGTTAAGCCACGTTTTTACTATTCGCAAAATACATCTGTGATACTTTAAATAGAAGTCTATGTCCAAGAATAATGTCAATAAATAACTTTTGATGATAAATTTCAATTTTTTGTTTTTTTGCACTAATAAGTCCGTCCTCAGAGGATTAAATAATCGAACGAGTACGACAAGGGTATTAGACCAAAAAGAAAAGAAAGAGGCAATATTCATTGTGCTCTCATTGCACGTGCTTGTGATAAACGCTTTTTATATCATAGATTTCATGTTTTAATACATAGGTGATGCATACTTGAGTAATAGACATGATTGTAACGTCTTTCGATCGTTACACTTCACTTCTCTTCTTTCTGTTTCTCAATATGACTTCTTGATAGTGTTGACTTTGACGAAACGCGTTTCTCTTTCTCTTCTCTTGTATAATTAGTATATAAGCGTGTGATTGTGTTCATGTAGATTCAACTGGAGTGATGAAATATCCCAATAAACACCATTCTAGAGGATAACGATAGAATTTCTCCTTCAGTTCGTCTGACTAATGACACTATTGCATAAGTCTTTCAAATATAATAAAAAATGAGGAAAAAAACCTTGCTTCTGTCAATTACCCTTATCATCGAGAGCTATGCTGGAAAATTTGATTTTAATATCAAACTATTCATAAAAAAAAGTGAATTAATTTTAGAGAACACCAATGGTAATCTCTATCGTCAATGAAATATTCTCATCTAGTTTGTTTACAATGTAACGATTTGAAATAATATTGTATGATTAATATTGGTACATCCTTACACTAAAGTGAGTTATGAACTTACACGTAATCATTTATAATAAAGTTATTATGATTGAGAGCAATGTTCGCATGTCGAATTTATAACTTAATTCCGAAGATTGAGAGAATGTTACAATGAAAGCAGAGATGCTCTCTTTTTTCTTTGATGAATGTAGATCCGGGCTTTTATTGAGGATAAATATACTTATGCTCTTCCTATCTTTCAGTTTTGTTATAAAAGACAAAGTATTCAATATTCTTGGAGGAAAGGTATATCAAAAATGTAATCTCGCCAATTTGTTATATATATTTTTTTTTGAAAAGACACAGCGTAGAAATCCATATGATTGATGAATCATAAAGATTAACAAGCAAAAAATTATCTTCTATTATATAAGATTAATTTGTCGGGTATAAACATTTTTTTTCATAAAAGTGATATGATTCTGTAATTCTAATGAACAATAAAAAAAAAAGTCTTTGTTTACAATATATTGTACTAAATTTTTCATTTATCTCATCATTTTTCTTCGTTCGAAATTGCAATGTTCAAGTTGGATTGACATAAGACTTTATCAAGGTCTTAAAGTACATAAATTATAGATGCGCACATGTCAAGTTTTAGTGTTTATGACATTTATTCTCTCTGTCTCTTTACGATTCCCTCTATATAAATTTCAATTATTTTCTTATCATGATCACAATGCACTTTAAAATAATTGGTTGTATGGCGTCATAAAAGGTATACGTTCGAAACACACAAAAAAGTGCATCCTTTGTTCTTGTCAAGGCTGTGATATATATTAATGATGATTGCCTATTATTTAGTGAAAGACAAACAAACTGAATTGGCTCAAACTATTGCAACGCCTGGCAAAGGTATTTTAGCAGCTGATGAACATGTAGGTCTACTTCACCTTTTATTTTTGAAAATAAATAAAATTTCTTTTTTTTCTGTCTTAAGGACTTATTGAATCTGTTTTTCATCAATGGATATTATAATACTTTGTAATGAAACATTTTATCATAAAACTGATGATAATGATGCATTGTTTCCACATTTATTAACACAAATTGGTATTATACCAGATATTACAGTTGATAGAGAATTAATTATATTAGCTGATATTGATAATGAAACAACAAATCAAGGTTTGTAAATATAAATATATAATACGTATATTATATTTAAAATTTAGGCTTAGATAATCTAGAAAAACGTTATCGTGGATATAAAAACCTTGGTACACAATTTTCTCAATGATGTACTTTGTTTACAATAGGTCACAATTGTCCATCACACTTAGCTATTGATGATAATGCTTTAAGACTTGCACGATATGCTTCAATTATATAAGCCATGAACATTTTCGTTTTATTATTGATGTGTACTTCGAACATCTGTTTTAAGTGTTTGGAAACGAAGTAAAAAAAATTATGAACAAGCTCGAAAAGAATACATACGCTTGCTAAAGTAAACTGGATATTTTCAAAAAAAGAAAATTTTAATTTTCTTTTCTTTTCTTTAGTAAAATGGTTTGACTTCATGAGAACAATATGAGATGTCAAATTAAATATTTTTATATTATCAATAATTTTATTTTTATTCATCATTTAATATTTTAATTAAAAATAGTTTTATTATTAAAAAGTTTGATAAAATATCATACCTAATTTTTTTTCTAGAATATAGTTAGTCATTGTAATTATTAATATCAATGAAATATATTTTAGTCACTGGTGGTGTTATTAGTGGTATTGGTAAGGGTATTATTTCATCAAGTATTGGTACAATACTTCGTTCATATGGATTTCGTGTAACATCAATTAAAGTAATTGAAAGAAAAACAAAACAAAAAAGACATGATTTAAGTTATTGATTATTGAAATTTTTGAATTTGTTTTAGATTGATCCATATATTAATATTGATGCAGGTACGTTTTCACCATATGAACATGGAGAAGTATTTGTACTTGATGATGGTGGGTAAGTACGTTTTACTCAAATAATCAATATTTACTTTGACAAATTCGCATAATCTTATGTTTAACATTTTATTGATTTACAAATAAAGCTTTATACGAAAGATAGCAAAAGTTGATTGTAGATTTTCAAGTGAAAATCTCGTTATTAAGTTTTCTATGAATAGTTAGATCAGAGATCGAAAACTTACTAAAATGGTCATAACTCTAATGTATGAACCTGAACCATTTTATGGTTTTCTTAGGTTTCCTAAATCCTACTTATAGCCAAAACACATTGAGTCAAACCGTGTGGAACAGTTGAAGGGTGTGGATGTAGATATATATGACTGAGTTAGATGGATACGCGAGCATTATGCTCAGCCACGTCTACACCCACAACATACGACGTGAATATGACCTTTCATGCATTCATATGAATCATGTTATTGTGCCTGCTTTGTTGTAAATTTAAGAAATTTTTCCTAATTAAAAAGAATAACGAATGCATGACGTATTTAATATACTGGTGTTTGACAGATTTACTTCAAACTTTTCTTGTGTATATGGGGAGCCATAAGATTGATGTTAATTGAGCGAATTGTCCTTCCGAACTGTCAGGTTTAGCCAAAGATAAGAACGGATTAAGAAAAATCTTAATTAGTAATTAAAATTTTCATGAAATAGTTTATCGTTTATTTTGTAATTATAGTGAAGTTGATTTGGATTTGGGTAATTATGAACGGTTTCTTGACATAACACTACATCGTGATAATAATATAACAACTGGTAAAATTTATCAATATGTTATTGATAAAGAACGTCGTGGAGATTATCTTGGAAAGACTGTACAAGGTTAAATAAATAACATATTTTGAATTATTCTTATTTAATTTAATTTTTTTTTTGCTTCATTATCATTTATAGTTGTACCACATATAACAGATGCTATTCAAGAATGGGTTGAACGTGTTGCACGTGTATCAGTTGATAACGATAAAACTGAACCGGATATTTGTATTATTGAAGTAAAAATAGAAGAATTTTTTTAGAGATCATAAATAGATGTTTTTCATATAGCTTGGTGGTACTATAGGTGATATTGAAAGTATGTCATTTGTTGAAGCTTTTCGACAATTTCAATTTCGTGTAAAAAGAGAGAATTTTTGTCTTGTTCATGTCAGTCTTATTCCACAAGTTTGTATTGAATAAATTTTTCGTTTTTATTGTATAGATTATGTTTCTTTTATATTCTTATAGCCAAATGCAACACAAGAACATAAAACAAAACCAACACAACATAGTGTAAAAGAACTTCGTGGTTATGGTTTATCACCTGATCTTGTTAGTGAACGTTAATTTTCTTTTCTTTTTTTTTTGTATAAATAAAAATTTATTTATTTATTTTTCTATCTATAGATTATATGTCGATCAGCAACACCAATGACATTATCATCAAAAGAAAAAGTTGCAATGTTTTGTCAAGTAGACAAAGATCATGTAAAACAATATTGAATTATTTTTCTTGATTTTATTTTATTTTTTATTTTTTGCCCTTTATTCAAGGTTATTTGTATGCCGGATGTAAAAACACTTTTTCGTGTTCCTTTATTACTTCAAGAAAATGGTATGTTCAATTTTTTATCAACGCGCTTGAATTTGACACTTAAAAATAATTATGATCAATCGTTAATGATTAAATGGCGAGAATTAATTGAAAGGTAAATTCTCTATATACATAGAAATTAATGAATAGTCTAACGTTGGCTAGTTGTATTAGTAACATTAATTAATTGTGCATCATTAAGAATAGCTACAGCACTAATGCCGAGACCTAATCCTAAAGCCATGCCAATAAGAATAACAGTTGCAAGAGCACCGACAATGATGATTTGTGTTTTACTCCCTGAAGTTTTTTCTTTACCAATTTGATAAGATCTTGATATATCATATGCATTGAGTGGACCATAATTATATGGATTATAAATAGAATCGATATTGTCTTCAAACATAATGTGTAGGAATGAGATGAAATTTTGAATAAATATTTAATGAAAAAGTACACGAAGATCACCTAACTTGTCTATCTTGTTGCTGTAAAAAGAGAGAACAGAATCAGTCTATACATGGTAGGCTCATATACTCTATGATGCGTAACGAATAGAGTGAAAATAGAATATCGTGATTGTTCAACCTTGGATGGAAATATATAATTTTGCCATTGATTGTTTTTTTTCTTTCTTTCTTTCTTTGTTAATTAGAAGTGAACGACAATTGGACGAAGTAGTAATTGCTCTTGTTGGAAAATATACAGCTTTAGAAGATGCTTATGCATCTGTACTAAAAGCACTTTATCATGCTGCACTTTTTTGTAATCGAAAATTAAATATACGAGTAAAAATATGAATCTTTATCAAGATATATAAATATTTTTTCATATATTGATTCTTAGTTTGTTCATGCAACAGATTTAGAAGCAAATACAAAAAAAGAAGATCCAGTTAAATATCATGAAGCATGGCAACAACTTTGTAGTGCCCAGTAAATGAGTAGAATTATATAGAATGTATTCATAACTTTGGTATGTTTCATTTTAGTGGTGTCCTTGTACCAGGTGGATTCGGTTCGCGTGGTGTTGAAGGTAAAATAGCTGCTATTGAATGGGCACGAACAAAATCTAAACCATTTCTTGGTATTTGTCTTGGTTTACAATGTGCTGTTATTGAATTTGCAAGACATGTTCTACAATATAAACGTGCAAATTCATCAGAATTTGATAAAGTTGAACATCAAGTCGTAAGTTTTAGTTGTTCTTGAATAATTTTTTTTTTGTAAATATTTTTATTACTAGGTTATTGAAATGCCTGAACATAATCCGGGAATTATGGGAGGTAAATAAATATTTGTTTATTTTATTGTATTATCGAAATTCTTTTTTTCTTATTTGAAAGGTACAATGAGATTAGGACGTCGAACAACTTATTTTGTAACAGATGATAGTATTCTTAGTATGTAGATTTATTGTATATATTTAAAAAAAAAGATATATATATATATTTATGATTAATTTTATAGAAAAACTCTATGGAAATGTTGATTCAATTGATGAACGTCATCGTCATCGATATGAAGTTAATCCAGCATATATTGAACAATATGAAAAAGCGGGAATGAAATTTGTTGGAAGAAGTGATGATAATGAACGAATGGAAATACTTGAACTTGAAAATCATCCATATTTTGTTGCTGTTCAATATCATCCAGAATATATATCACGTCCATTGAAACCTTCAGCTCCATATTTAGGACTTATTTGGGTAAAGAATTGAGATTTATAAATTTTTCATGATTTATTGTCTTGTTTTTTTGTTATAGGCTGCTTGTGGTGAATTAAAAAATGTTTTAACGCATGTTACTAAACAACAACCAACAGCACCTGATATTGTATCAAAATCTCCTGGACCATTTTCTCATGTCAGTTTATTTCGTCATACATGATCTGAATTTTTTTGTTATTTGCAAAAACTCTGGTTGTTCTTGTTTCTTTTTGTCTGTCATTGTTTATTGTAATTTCACGTTGACAAGTACAAGAAAATTCGTATTTTTCTGGGCGATGGATTTCTATTATTCATGCTTTGTTATGGGATGTGATGCGTATAAAAATAATAATTAAATCAATAATAAGAAATGTAGAAGATTTGAATGATAAGGATAAATATAAGCAGATATTAAAAAAAAAAAAAATTCTGTTTTTTAACTAAGAAATATCTCGAAGAATTAATAGGTAATGATTTATTGGCAATTGTGATTTTCTTTTTTATCGATTTTGATCGAATTTCAATTTGAGGCCCAGAAAATATGTTAATATTGAATATTGTGTATAGAAACAAAGTTTACAGTTAATAAATGAAAACTTCTTCTCATTAAGATCTATCATGACATTTTCTTTTCGTTACGTTTATATGATCTCATTTCAATTTTCAAGATTTGAAATTTTATTTTAATACTTATTCACTTGCTTTCAATGTAGCATATAAAAATGAAAGAATAAGCAATCTTTTTCGGTTAATATATATGCGCATGGACAGTAACTATCAAAATTTAATCAATAAGGTTTATTTTCTATTTTTTTTTAATTAAAAATTATTATCTAATTGTCAAAAGTGAGATCTCTAGAATGCAAACAAGAACAAAACGTTGTTCAGTGTCTAGATTCGTAGAACCACAATTTCGTTCAGATTACATAGAACAATAGAGCAAACAATTTGCTACAAAATGAGACGCTTTCGAGCTTTCTACAATATTGTTTAGCTGGAATAAAAAAATTATATGTATGCCTTGTTTTGAAAAGAATTTCTTGATCAATCAAATTTCGATATTATTTGATAGGTCCGAGCCGGCTCTCTTGAATGATGAAAACCGCAATTCTCTGGCTCTTTCGAATCTTGAATTATTGCAAAAAATATCCATGGTCCTTATGTTTTTATAGTTCTATGAAATCAAAACGTTTCAAATTTTATATTGACGAAGATTTTTTCAGTTTTACACGAGGACAAAATATAGTAATAAAAAAATATTGTACAGATTATTCTAACGATTCATTCAAATGCACTTTCAGTGTCAAACAGTATAAATAACAAGTTAGAAGTACTCATCATTTCTATAGGTTCATCCATTGACGAATAAGAATTCATCAAAAATGAAATTTTTGTAAATTTGATGCTTTTATGTAACTATTGTTTGGCTGATTGATAGTTCGAGTACAACGAATAGATCCATAGGAAAAACAAAAGAATTTTGATGAGTCATTTTTGAAATATGCTGGGTCATTATTCTCGTGCATTTTTCTTCCATCAATCTGTTGATAATTCATATAAATTGTGTCGTATTTCTCTTAGTACATTACAAATTCGATTTTATTCTCGTCTAGCTATGTCTAAGACGAATGAAAAAACTGATTCAAATTATGATTATGATTATTTTGTAATTGGAGGTGGATCAGGAGGTGTACGTTCTAGTCGGATAGCCGCACAACATGGTGCACGTGTTGCTTTAGCTGAAGATAAAAAATTAGGTAATAAAATTTTCATTCGAATTAAAATTATTTATTTATTTAATTTTTATCTTAGGTGGTACTTGTGTTAATGTTGGTTGTGTACCAAAAAAATTATTTTGTTATGCATCACATTTTCGTGAACTATTTCATGATGCACATAGTTATGGATGGCCTAAAATAGATATGAATTATAATGATCATAATTGGAAACAATTTATAGAAAATAAAAATGCTGAAATTCAACGTCTTAATAATGCATATGAAAAAACTCAAAAAGATAATAATGTTGAAATCATTAAAGGACATGCAACATTAAAAAATCAAAATACTGTTATTGTTAATAATAAAGAATATACATCAAAATATATACTTCTTGCTGTTGGAGGTTTGATTGATTTTTATTTTAAATTAATAAATAAATTTTATTAATTTTAGGTCATCCGATAGTACCGAATATTCAAGGACGTGAACATATAATTACATCAGATGATGCTTTTTTTCTTGAAAAATTACCTAAGAATATTCTTATTGTTGGTAAAGTTTTTTTTTTGTTCCTATGATAATATATTTGTTTTTTTTTGATTGATTACAAAAATTTTGATGTTTAGGTGGTGGTTATATTGCAACAGAATTTGCTTGTATTTTTAATGGATTTGGTTGTGATGTAACATTAATTTTACGTGGAAAGACAATTCTAAGATCGTTTGATGAAGGTTTGAGAATATATAATTAAATTATTCAATTGTATAACATTGTCCGGATTTCCCGTGTATGCCAAACTTTTGAGGAATTTGAAACTCAATGTATAGGTGTGGTGTGAGTTTTTCAGTGGTTTATGAATCTGGATTTTTTCTTCTGTGTCACGCACATCGATAATCATATAAATAATCACATCCATACCCGAAAATGTTTGTCTGACAAGAAAACTAAACCGGAAGAGAACACGCAAAAAAAAGAGTCATTTCTTAAATGATTTAATTCAAATATTAAAACTTTAAGAATTATATTTTTTATTTATTTAGATGTTCAAGCAAAATTGACTGAAGAACTTAAAAAGAGTGGTATTCATTTGCGATATGAAACTGAAGTTGAACGTATAGAAAAATTATCTGATGATTCATATAGTGTTAAATTTAAAAATGATACAAAAACAATAAATACAAATCTTGTTATGTTTGCTATTGGTCGTCAACCTAGTACACAAAATATAGGTTTAGAAAAAATTGGTGTTAAAATAAATGAAAAAAGTATTATTGAAGTTGATGATTATTCACAAACAAATATTTCAAATATTTATGCGGTATATTTTTAACATTATTGATTTATTTATTTATTTTTATTATAGGTCGGTGATTGTACAGATCGTAAAGCTTTAACACCTGTTGCTATACAAGAAGGTCATTATTTAGCAAATATGCTTTTTAATAATGAACAACCACGAAAAGTTGATTATGATACAGTAGGTACAACTGTATTTAGTGAACCAGCTATTGGTACATGTGGTTTAACTGAACAACAAGCAAAAGAAAAATATGGATCCGATGGATATGATGTATATGAATCAACATTTAAACCAATGTTTGCACAATTACCAAAACGTGATCGAAAATCATATGTAAAATTAATTGTTGAAAAAAATGATCAACAACGTGTTGTTGGTATTCATTTAATGGATCATTCAGCACCAGAAATTATTCAAATGTGTTCAGTTGCAATACGTGCTGGAGCAACAAAAGAATTATTTGATCATTCGATTGGTATACATCCAACTAGTGCAGAAGAAATTGTTCAAATAAGAGAAAAACGAAAAAAGAAAAACGAAGAAAAAAAATAAATTAATTCATTTATTTTTTTCTATGAACATTTAATTTAGACTTAATTATTATTAAAGATTGTTTATTGTTTTTAATTAAATAAAAGTAGTATTTCCGCGTATCTTATACAAGACAATAATAATATTTCATTAGATTTGTTAACTAATAGTTTCACGGTGTAAATTAGAAAAATTACATTTCGATCAATTAGATGATCGAAGTCAGAGAAAGAAACTGTGAAGTAACCATTGCAAAACTCATTACTAAGAGAGTTCTATTAACGATATGAACATAATTTTAAATCAATACTCTCGATTGATCGCTTGATTATCTCTCTCCCTCTCTCATTCACTGCCTTAGCTATAAGTAAAGAGACAGGCAATTAACTTTTATTACTGTCTTTGTTGTAATAAGCACTTTTGCTTCTTCAGATTCCCACCACAAAATATGACAACTTTTAATGCGTACGTTGAGAAAAAAAGGAAGGAAAGACCTCACGAAATACTACATTAACTAATCAGTCAATTCACTGTTTTATTTTTAACAAACTTTATTCTTTTCATAAATGATAATTTTAATTAATTTTAAGGGTCACTCAAACATTTACTATCGTTGTATTGCAGAAGAATTATTCGAACACAACATCGATCAACCAGTAAAGAAAATCTTTACTAGTTCTAACGAGTTGTTTTTTTTATACTTAATTTGATGAATAATACTATGTCAACATTTGATACAACTGATGAACTGAGTTTAATTGAAACAAATGTCTTCGTTAAATATTTCGAAATGTTCGTCAAAATATTTTGAAATTCTCTGAAAATAGTACAAAGACAAGGAAAAAATCACGAAGTTTCACTTCTGTTTAAAAAGAAATTGAAATAGAATTTTGAAGTTCCAAAATTTCGATCATAAAAAAATAAACGGATTAATATGCTTATTGTTTAACAGTTTTCTCATCGATGTTCATTGTTGAAAGAATTGATGCAATTCATCTCAATGATACTACTGCATTGACATTTTTCTTTTTCACTCTTTAATTATTTTATTTTTTCTCTTACGTCAAATAATTAATTGATAAGCGTATTCATCTGTATATGAAAATATCAACCAGTCAGCTGTGAATTTCTCTTTCAAAAAACAAAAGAAAAGGAACATAATTATCTCCAATCGTATTTCCAATCGTCATTTTCGATGTATTCGACCATTACTGTTCTCTTGCATCAATTGAATGAAGTATTCCTATCTACAGTTGAATTACTCTTTCAGTTGCAAACGTACTAGTAATTCAACTATAGATAAAAATAAATCATTCAGTCAATGATCATTCTCTTTTTACTTTTTTTTATGCAATAAATTATTGTGATCTTGGAATAGAACGATTAATTCATTACATAAGTTACAGAATTTTCCTTTCGCTTTTCTCTTTTCTAACAACGTGTCGAATGTCTATACATTCAACACAGAAACTTTCTTTATTCAAACATGAACTATACCAAGAAATTCTTTTCTTTATAATACATGCTCATGATTTCGGCAAGTATTGGTAACTTCATTGATAGGAATTGTATTATTGGCTTCTCAATAGACAGAATCTGCCTATGTGTGTGACCGTATCTCTTCAATTAAAAACAAGAAAAATAGTCTTTTCTTTTTATTACATCTATTTCTTTGAACAAAAACAAAAATCAATTACATTTGCTTTTTTACATATGTGAGGTTATTTGCATATAATTGAATATGTGGATGAGTTGCAGGTACTGAGTTTTCTAGTATTTTAACAGCTCGTTCACAATATAAAACAGCTTTCGAATACTCTCTATTCTTGGAACACATCATTCCCATGTGTCCATAAGTAGGAGCGAAATCAGGATGATTTGAAGGAAGAGTTTTTTCGCAGATTTCAAGGTCTTGCTCATAGTATGAAAGTGCCTTTGAATAGTCACCCATTTTTTCATACACCGAACCAATGTTGTTAAAAGAAGAAGCCAAATCAGGATGATTCGGAGGAAGAGTTTTTTGATAGATTTCTAGTGCTTTTTGATGAGAGGAAAGTGCATTTGAATAATCACCCATGCTGTCATACACCGAACCAATATTGTTGTAAGATCGAGCTAAATGAGAATGATTTGAAGGAAGAGTTTTTTGCCAGATTTCCAGTGCTTTGTTATAGCATGATAGTGCATTGGAACAGTCACCCATGTTGTCATACACCGAACCAATGTTGTTGTGAGAAGTAGCTATATCCGGATGATTTGAAGGAAGAGTGTTTTGGTAGATTTCCAATGCTTTCTGATGAGACGAAAGTGCATTTGAATAGTCACCCATGTTGTCATACACCAAACCAATGTTGTTGTAAGTTGTAGCCAAATCAGGATGATTTGAAGGCAGAATGTTTTGATAGATTTCCAATGCTTTTTGTTGGTATGAAAGTGCATTCGAATAGTCACCCATGCTATTGTACACGGAACCAATGTTGTTATAAGAAGTAGCCAAATGAGAATGATTTGAAGGAAGAGTATTTTGGTAGATATCCAATGCTTTTTGTTGATATAAAAGTGCATTCGAATAGTCACCCAGGTTGTCATGCACCAAACCAATGTTGTTGTAAGACGTAGCCAAATCAGGATGATTTGAAGGAAGAGTATTTTGATAGATTTCCAGTGCTTTTTGATGAGACGAAGTTGCATTCAAATAATCACCGATCTTGTTATACACCAAACCAATGTTGTTGTAAGAAGTAGCCAAATCAGGATGATTTGAAGTAAGAGTGTTCTGATAGATTTTCAGTGCTTGTTGATGAGAGGAAATTGCATTTGAATAGTCACCCATGTTGTCATACATCAAGCCAATGTTGTCATAAGTTCGAGCTAAATGAAGATGATTTGAAGGAAGGGTTTTTTGCCAAATTTGGAGTGCTTTTTTATAGTAGGCTAGTGCATTCGAATGATTTTTCATGTTGTCATATACCGAAGCAATGTTATTATAAGATCGAGCCAAATGAGAATGATTTGTAGGAAGAATGTTTTTTATGACTTGCAGTGCTTTTTTATAGTATGATAGTGCATTTACATAGTCACCCATGTTATTATACATCAAAGCAATGTTGTTGTGAGAAGTAACCAAATTACGATGATTTGAAGGTAGATTTTTTTGGCGAATTTCCAGTGCTTTTTGATGATAGACAAGTGCATTTGAATAGTCATCCATCTTGCTATACACAGAAGCAATGTTGTAGTAAGAAGAAGCCAAATTGGGATGATTTGAAGGAAGTGTGTTTTGGCGAATTTCCAGTGTCTTTTGATGACATATAAGTGCATTTGAATAGTCATCTATCTTGCTGTACACAGAAGCAATGTTCTTGTAAGAAGTAACTAAATCAGGATGATTTGACGGAAGTGTTTTTTGGCGAATTTCCAGTGCTTTTTGATGATAGACAAGTGCATTTGAATAGTCATCCATCTTGCTATACACAGAGGCAATGTTGTTGTAAGAAGTAGATAAATCAGGATGATTTGAGGGAAATGTTTCTTGGCGAATTTCCAGTGCTTGTCGATGAGATAAAAGTGCATTTGAATAGTCACCCATGTTATGATATACCGAACCAATGTTGTTGTAGGTGGTAGCCAAATCAGGATGATTTGAGGGAAGTGTGTTTTGGCGAATTTCCAGTATTTGCTGTTGGCATAAAAGCGCATTCGAATAGTCATGCATATTGTTATATACGGAAGCAATGTTGTTGTATATAGTCAGCAAATTAGGATGATTTGAAGGAAGACTTTTTTGGCAGATTTCCAGTGCTTTTTGATGAAATGAAACTGCGTTGGAAAAGTCACCCATCTTGTCATACACCAAGCCAATGCTGTTGTACGAAGCCGCCACATTAACATCCGTTGGTGAGAGAATTTTCTGTTTGAGTTCAATGGATTGTTGATAATAGGCAATGGCATCTGCATATTCACTTTTACCACGCTTGACCATCCCAAGCATATGATAAACTAATGATTTTTCACGATCAGTCGATGTTTGATCAAGCAAAATATCATACACTTCTTGGGCTTTGTCGAGCTGTCCCAGTTTAAATAGTATTTTGCCCAAGCGGTCCCATCCTTGGATATGAGGATAGGTGTCGTTGCGTATTTGTTTAGTAAGTACTTGAAGTTCTGGATCGTTCTCGTTGATCAATGTTAAATCAACTTGCCAAAGACGACTATTTCCATCGATTTGTTTCATTGGTCCAATACGAAAGATAGAATGTATGGAGAAGAGTATTTGTTCTTGTCCTTCGAAATAACTGACACCATGGATGGCAGCAAATGGTACTGATGTTATGGACGGATCGATTTTCATGACGAATAAAATACCAATAAGATCGTACGATTCCATAGTCTCACGAGCAAAGTTGAGCGATACTTGACGATGCATAGTAGTCAATAGAAAATTATTAAATGATAAAAGTCCATCTTGTGTATTGATCATTTGATCAAAGTCGGCCTTCGTCAGTCCTTGACCATGAAATACAATAAATGATTCCATATGTGCCTGTCCAACATATTGTTCCATATGAAGCTTGGCGATATGGTTATGCAGATCTCGGATAAAAAATCCCATGCTTATGATGAGATCGACTTCCATCATTCGTAATGATCGATTCAACATCGAATACAGAAAACATGGATAGGTATACCACCAAATCGGGAGATGCTTATGATATTCTTGTTCAAGTTTCTCCACATTTTGCAGTTCTTTTGGATTCACGGCGAATAATTTACGACAATAAGTAGTAAATTCATCAATATGGTGTTGTTCGAAATCAATAGTTAATAGAATTTCTTTCGTTATTTGGGTGTACATAAATGAAGAATCTAATTGGTCGAGATTTGGCTTATTGCTTCCACTACTGGTTGTGACAAAACTGATTGAAATCATGTTTTGGTCACATTCTTGTGCTGCTTGTTGAAGAGCTTTACATAGAGGAGTAATATCTGTAAAGACTCCTTTGATTTTTGGCCAATGTTTGGTCCATTGTTCATACGAAGCTTGTGTCTCACAAAAAATATAAATTGTATTGACTTGAGACATGTCATGTACGATGGGAACTGTGGTTTGTCCCAATGTACTAGAAGTGATTATAAACATTTTGTCTTGTTTGAGATCACTGATAAAATTGATACATTCATCGACATCTGTAAATGTATAGACCTTGTTGATTACTTCTTTTAATTTTGAAATATTATTGTTGCAATTGTTATTGTTTTCTGGATCGATATTGTTGGCGAGCCAAACAAGCAAAAAGTTCTGAACCATACGAGCAGAAGGAGACGGTCGTGGCCTTGTGCTCGTATTGTCAATTGGCGTGGCAGCAGCAGCAGCAGTAGTTATTTTCGACTTTTTCTTTTTGTCCATGGTATGTGTTGTGTTTGATCAATAAAAAAAATGGTTTAAATTTGTATAGTATGTTCGAAATTTGTCTCGATGTTACTATTTGTTTTCCGTTATTGTTGTCGTTTGAGTTCCATTTTGTTTTCGTTTTACTTCAGTGCTTCACTAGTTTTTTTATCTGTTGTCGTCTGTGGTGTCACAATAAAATCAACGAATGAAAAAAAAATTCATCGCAACATAATTTTATGCATCGTGTCGTATTTCATTTTCTTTTTATGATGTCTGAAATTTTTTTCTCGTCTTCTCCTTATGTGGTCGTGAATGAATTTGTACATAGAAACGGAATAGCGCACATAGTTGTTTGAAAATGCATGATGAATTCTTATTTCAGTGAGTTTTTTTTCTTTTTTTGCTAAATTAAGAATTCAATGTCACACGAAACCAATAAAAGTATATGTAGACGGTCATTACTCTTGCCAAGGTTTGTTTTTGTTTAAATGAAAAAACTAATCAATTCTAACATAGGATACAAAAAGTCTTTTTTTTGCATACATGTTCTTATATTATTCTTAAGGAGGAAACTGAATGAAACTATTATCATTAATTTGCTTTAAAAACGAGATAAAACATTTATCATATTGTTATAATCTATATCTCCTTGCGAAATCAGTTCATTTTTTATAGTCACTCCAAGATCCGAACTGAACTCATGGTTTATGAAATTAGAAAATTTTCGAATTGGTCGAAATATCAAATTTAGGGAATAACATATTTGTATATTGCACGAAGTGGATCGATGAGTTTAATGCACGTTTGAACTACATACATCACAAATTAGTTATTAGGAAACAACTCGAATCTTGTGCTAATTAAATATCAATAAATATTGTATCAAAGTCCATGAAAAGACGAGGCAGAATAATGCTGTTTTCCTGCCTCCTTCTTTACATGGATTTGGAATTTTTTATCGAGATTGAGGCAAGAGTGGTTTCTGCTCTAGTGAATCACTCATTAAATGAGTACTCATAGAGTACTCATCCTAGAAGAAATCGTGAGAATTCATGAGTACTCGTGCTTAAATCTAAGTGTCGGAATACGACAATTGATTAGTTGCTGTGTAATACTGAATTTTTCGTGGGTAGTCTATACAGGTATTGTGTCTCCTAGTAGTTTATGTAAAATACTCTTAAGCTTATATTCTGTTCAGTATTTCCGTATTACATCGATTTTATTTATATATAAAACTAAATAATAAACATATAGCTATCATTTTATCTTTATACTTTTTAAAACAGATAATAGGGCTGGAGAAATCGTCATTGTTATAGAAGAAATTGAATCATTTCTTTATTTTTATATAATAAAAATAAGATTTGACTTATTTGTTTAAAAGATCAAAGAAAAGAATAAAATTTAATAAAAAACAAGAAAATTTATTTTGAATAAAATACATAATGGACAAGGAATTTTCGATCTGCATGATCTCTAATTTTGTATTATGACCAATCAATTCTGTCCTACGATTCCATATCTGTAGTGTATTTTTTTAACAATTTTCATATTTTTAAAAAACTTTATTCTTTTCTTTGATCTTTTAAAAATTAACAAATCTTATTTTTTACGATACCAAAAAATAAAGAAATATCTAATTTTCTTCATTAACGATGAAAATGTCTTTGTCTCTATTTCATATAGTAAAAGTACAGTAAAACACAAATTGAACACAGTGAAAGGTAGGAAAAGAAAAAACGAAAAATAAATTGTTCGATAAACATACAGTTGTTGATTACTACACAAAAAAATCAAATAGACATTTCTATCTGTAGTCTTTTGGTAGTATATAAAAAAAACATAAAAAATCAAATTATTTGTCTATAAAGTAAAACTTCTCTATTGTGATGAATACTATCAGAATCATTTAAAAGTGTTCACTATACAGAGGTGTTCATTTTAGAGAATCGACGCACAATTTGCTGTGAAATGAAAAAAAAGATTTCAGAATATCAGCTTCTTCTTTAGTGTTACGAAAGAACATGTCCAACTATCGGATACCGTTCTATCCATTTTTGACTATGAGTAGAATTCAGTGAGACTAAGAAGACTCTAAAAAATTTCATGCTCATGAGATACCTGGAAAGAGACCTTATTGCTACATCGGTGTAAGAAAATAGAATGTTGAGTATGTGTTTGGATGTCGGTAAAAAGAAGACACCCCACACCTACAAAGATCATTCCACCTAAAGAATTAAATAAATGTGGAAACCTCGGATTTAAATCCGAGAGTTATGTGTACTTCAAAAAGTGAATTAGGCAGATGAGTCATCCTAGAATATGTGGACATCAATATTATCCTGGCAAGCCTTTTCTATAAACACTTGATTTCTATTGGTTAGTGATCAACCAATAGGGTTTCGGGGCGAATATAGCTTAGATTTGAACTCTTCGCCTTGGTTTACCCTAAGAAAGTCATTTTTTCTATAACTTGATTTCTATTGGTTACTGCTCAACCAATAGGATTTCGAGGCAAGTCGAGCTCAGATTCGAGTTCTCCTCCCCAGAAAATTTCGAAGTATCATCTCTGTGATGATAAGATAGAGCTCTACTTATGGATCGGTTAGAGCGCAGACGAAACCAGAACCGATTTCCGTTTGTTTATCTTTGTAATAGGTGAGCTAGCCTTATTGTTTCTTAATGTTTTATATACCATTTTGCAGCTCGTGAAATTCTCTATCGAATGGTATATAATAGTTGGGGTTTTAGTTGACTATGATAGGAAAAGTTGTTTACGAAAGTGGGAATGGGTCGATCTTTCCATAGGGAAGGTATAGGGAAAAATGAGTACTTTTGCAATAACTCAGGAAGGGCTCATCCAAACAGGCTCATCTTCGAACTCGACTGAGACATTGTTAAGACTGAACTGTGTAGAAAATTTCATCAAGATCTGACTCCCCTTTCGAAAGTTATCATGTATACGGACGGACGGCCGGACACACTGACCGATTCTAGAGTGTACTCACTTTTTGAGTACACAAAAAACCAATCAATCGATGAATTAATATTTCAAACTTACAATCTCACTTTATATTCGGATCATTTTTTGAGTTATTAATCGTTGTACATTAGTCATTCGTTCATCATTAATACGTGTCATAACTTGTTATGGTGTAATTATTTGAGAATAACATGATAGCCGAAGAAGACAAATTTGAATTTATTTGAGAAAGATTATTATTTGATGATGAATAATATTGTGAAATCAATTTTGGTTGAATATCATAATGATTAGAAGATAACTCTTTAGACTTTTTCCTATAATGATGATGTTAGATAAGGTTCTTGATAATGAAGATCATATGGTTTTTGTAACGGTGTTAGATGATGAAATGAAGATCGATATAAATGAAAATAGGGGCTTGAAGTAGATGGTTTTATTGATATCGGTAAAATAGCATTATTTATTGATGATTGTTAAGTGTATAATAGAGGTTTTTCAGAACCTAGAATTTGTAAGTTTTTAGATAATATACTTAGGGTATACCAAAAATAGTGGCAGTAGCAATATACTTGAAGAAATTTTCTCCCTATATATAAATACTAATAGTCCAAACAATGCTCTATAAATTCTATGAAATTTCACTATTCCTCGTTGACTATGATAATATTAGAATTTCGATCATAACTGTTCACTTCTGATTTTGTTACATAGGGAAAACTTTCGCTGCTGCATTGGGCGCCTATTCTAAGTTGAAATTTTTGTTATGATACATGATTCAATAGAACAGCTTATACTCTACGTAATTTCTATAGTGTTTAGCTGATTTTATTGTTCAATATATCATTAACACGAGCACTACGTATTGCATCAGATATTCTATTCGAATAGATATTTTATGTTGGGAAAATTGTTTTAGTGGTCTGCTATGTATAGATCAATCACAGATAGACGTTTTTGTACTGTTCTTATTCATGAATCAAAGAAGGTAAAAGTTATTTTAGCAGTTTGGATTTCTAGGGAATCTTTTTCCGTAGAAAATTGTTATATTTGATATCGAAATAAATTATGTTACTTAAGTTATATACCTTTGTTACGCTATGAACAGTAGAAGTAAAAAAACCTTACCGTAGCCCTATGTAGACACAGGATGAAATTTCGAACAACGTGCTGTGTTAAATTTCGTTCGCAACATTCTTGTTTGGTGAGATATATATCCACTCCGTTGCTGGAACTGCAATAAGCCTTTTTACTCCTACTATTTATAACGTAATAAAGTTAGAAAGCTTAAGAGATATAAGAGTTTCGTACAGAAAAAGATTTCTTACACATCTATACTGTTAAAATAATTTTTATTTTCTTTGGTACATGATTAGATATTACATGATCGTCTATCTGCGTATTTTCAGACTCTCCATTCTCGAGATCATCGCAACAGACAATGATAACTTTCGATGCGTATGTATAGTAAGTAAAAACAAGAACAGAAAAATGTGGTGCGAAGGGTTCTCAATTTTCGGCAATGGGGTTCGAATTAACAGAAGAACGATAAACGATTTCACCTAGAGTCGATCCTGTCCTGTCGAAGGCTTTCATTATTTCCCCTGCTTACAACAACTGACTGAGGACAGACTCGCCACATTTTATTATCTCGAGTAAAAGATGGAGGACAAATGATCAAAATCGCCGTTTTGAGAACTTACTGAAGATCAACGAAAACTCATATTGAAGATTCACAAACGTTTGTACCGTTCTGCGACATCGATCTTCCTGGCATAGTTCGAACAAATTTCTGGCGATTCGTCGTTATCTAGAATATTACGACACAAAGTACAGATTTTGTTACAGCAAAACAGACGCTATGTATGAAGGATGAATGCGTACGCGACCGACTAGAGAAATGTGGTGCGAAGCACGAATCTCGAGTATTAGAGACGAATGATCAATTTCATGAGTCATCAGATATCATTTTTTTGTTCAAACGATCTCTACGTTTTACTAGAATCAGTATTTTCTTCTATGTCTGAGAATTCTAAAATTCGCGTTTCAACCTATCGGCTGATGAAAGTAGAAAAGTAGTTGAAAGGCTGACATGACGCAATCCATCACTACGAGAATTCCATAAAAGCGTATCAACATATTTCTAACGAAACGTATCGATTGATCATTTAATTATCTGCATGATTCATTATCTGTATGCACAGCTGTTTATTATCTCGAAACGCAAAAAACAACAACATCTTGAAAAATTTGTTATTTTGAAGGTCGATTTATAATGAAAAGGAACCTTTTTGGAAGAGGTTTGGAAAAAAAATGGTATCGATTCGATCTCGATATTTTCAGCTTGCGTTTAAACGGATTCTTTTTTGTGAACTTTTGTTCTCGAGATCATCGCGGTAAAAAATGAGAAACTTTAATGTCACGAACAATATTGCTAGTTGTCTCTCATATAGTTCAGATAATTAAAAAACAGATGTCAGCAGTTGTCCATTGATGGATTGTCTTTGGATGTGGATATACCTGGTATTGGGTGAATGTGACCCTTTTCTTCATCCACATCCTTTCTAATTTGCTGAATAATTTTTTTTCGTAAAAAATGATATGTACATATTTAAAACGACATATTAACTATAAATAGTAATATCATCAATGAATTGGTAATGATTTAATAATTAGTTGATCTGAAATAACTGTAGCAAACATGAACGTCGAAGTTGTCATTTTGATACGACATATAACGGATGTTGCAAAATATCTTGAATAAATATTAGATTCGACTGTACTCGAACAGAAGGTGATAGGAAGCTCATTCTTTTCTTATTAGATAGAACGTGATCTTTACTTTAAAACAACTAATTTTATCAACTTTAATTTATGTATCAATTAACAGATTAGTTTGGATTTCTTCAAAACTCATAAAAAAAAACGCATTGTAAACTGCTTTATCGAGAACACAATCAATATCTTAGTTTCTATTTGAGTACATTTGAATCTGATATTTTATTCAAGAACTTTTTCAACAACTGCTACATATATTTATATATATTAAAGTTACTATTCAATCTTACACATTATTTGACATATTGAGAAACAAAGTTTCATAGATTAATGACAATAGGTTATCTACTATACATTCTAAAATTCTTTTGAAAACATATAAATCCTAAATAAAACATCACAATGATTGAATGATTTAATTAAATTTAAAAACTAAGGAAAACAAATGATTAAAAATCTTTGAAAATTTAGAAATATTCTTCAATTTATCTTTGACTGTTAATTTAATAATATTTATATTTCTTGTTTTCTTTTTCTTTCTCTTTCTTTAAATTGACATTATTCAAAAGAAGAATATGAAATGGTGATTTCTGCTTTTTTAATTTCATTCAAATAATTATTATTATTCATAACTCATAACTATAAAAGAATCTATCATATGATTACAAAGCACGTATTTTTTTTTTGATTTATTCTTTTTTCTTCTTTGCCTTTCCGTCCAAAACTATTCGACAATTATATTCAAATCGTGACAAGCGACAACGATGTCTACGATAACTCTCAATAGCTAACTATTCGCGTGTCACCTAATGCATATACATAGAAAGATGGAGAGCAAGACGATGCTAAGTGATGACGAACTTTGCGTGTCGACATGCACATTCGATGCTTGTATGAATATAAAACAATCCGTCAACCATTAGTTCTTTTTTATTTTCGTGCATGAATATATTTTCTTGCAAAGTTTCATTCATTGATTGAACAAAAACTATCATCATTTTTCAATGGAATATTATATCTCTATATATATATATATATATATATATATATATTTAAAAGCAAATCGAATATTTTCAAACATATCTAACTCATCAATGTTGACATCATTTCAAACTTATGTTCAATAGACGACAGAGAAAAAAAAACGAGGAAAAAAATTTCTTATGCGAAAATGCCTTCGAGAATTGAACGTGACTTGTTTGTTAAAAAATTGTCCATATCATTAGCCTTTCTTTTTCTCTCATCTGTGATGCAACGTGCTATAGCTACAAAATCTTCAAATGTTGATTCCAAACACGTCTACATATATTTATTTGCTCTTCTTTACTCTACACTCTATGTTGCTCAGTCAACTTCTTCTTTTTTCTCTTCTTCTTCTTCTCCTGTGTATATATGTGAATGAAGATCACGCACATGCGAACGAGCAAGAACGTCGAAATCAAATTCTGTTTGAGCACGACATCACCATCACAGCACGTATACGGATATGTCCGCGTGTGCGCATTCGCATGATTACAGCGGTGCGTGCAAGTATGCATTCACACACGCACACATAGAGCGAAAAGAGAGAGAGAGAGCGTGCGCCAGAAAGAGAGTGAGAGAGAGAGATGTGATGAAACATAGAGAAGCAAGTTCTTTCTATTCACTCATCATCATACTCAAGAGAAAAAAGACTACGTTTATTCTTTGATTAATTCAAAGATGTATCGATTGAATCGGCAACATTGTTATCTATGTGATCTACCTCGTACACCTTGGGCAATGATTTATGATTTTTCTGAAACTGTTTGTCGTGGTTGTGTAAATTATGAAGGTAAATATATTCTATCTTGTTTTTTGTTTTTCATGACAAAAGACGAAAAAAAATTTTTTTAGGTGCCGATCGTATTGAAACAATCCTTGAAAATGCTCGTATGCTTCGACGTACATCATTAATTGACCGATCAAATAATTATACATCATCAAAAACACTTTTACCACTTCCAACATCATTTCTTCCAACAAATGGTATTCATTATCCATATAAATCTTTATCAAATGGACAACAACATCGTATATCAACATCATTTAATACTCGTTCATCATATTTATCATCATCATCATCTCCATCAAATGAAGCAACATCAACACAAGAACCTGATGATCTTTCATTACCTGAATTAGTTAAAGATAGTTTACGTTTATTAACATCATCAACACCATTTGATATACGTCTTAAACGTGATCCAACTATTCAAGCACGTTTATTCCTTTTTGATTCTCATCAACGACATACATCAACAGGTGGTTCAAATGAATATGAATTACGTATATTTAGTGAATATCCTATTGGTTCAAGTAATGTACATGCTAATATTAATTCATTATATCGACAAATGAATGCTGATATTAAACAATCTTCATCAATGGATGATAATCAATCAGTAAAAAATCCTTATAAAGCGCTTGAATATCGAATAAAATCATCAACAACATCAACAACAGATGAAACAATAAATAATTGGCATTTATTAAATGATTTACTTCATGAACGTGTACGTTCATTTAAAGAATTACCAAATAAAAATCTTTTACCTGAAATATATCTTGATCCAAAACAAACAAAATTACCATCTATACGTCAAACAATATCAAAACGTAAATATAATGATATTGATATAAATTCAATTAATAAATATCGTTTATCAAAACGTTTACGTACACATCAACAAATTAATGAAACTCCAACAACATCAATACCATTATTAATTCTTCAATGTAGTGATTGTCATCAAGCACTTGAAGATACACATTTTGTACAATGTCCATCAATATCTGAACATCGTTATTGTTTTTTATGTTGTAAAAATTTTATTAAAAAACAAACAGGTGAAAAAGAAATTTATTGTCCAAGTGGTTTAAAATGTCCATTAGTTGGTTCAACAAATGTACCATGGGCATTTATGAGAAGTGAAATTGAAACCATACTTAATACACGATCACCAACACCTCCAAAAACAAATTCACCATCAACTTTAACAATTAAACAAGAAACTGAAATTTAAAAAAAAAACACACTTTGTATTTTTTATTTAATACTTTTTGTTTTTTGATTGTTGTGTATATTATATTAAAATGTCTTTTTGCTTTTTTTTGTTTTGTTTTATAATCCTTGTTGTTTTAATTCACGACGCATTTGAATTAGAGCACAACATGGACAACAGTAAACAGCTAAACAATCACTACATACGGAACCCTATTGAAGAAAATACGTTAAATGTTTTGTTTGACTTCTTTTTTTTGTTTTATCAATATAGCATACTCGTATTCGAAATAAAGTTCGAATTTTAGTACGTAATGGCCATAAAGTCATTGGCCAACAACATGTTAGTAAATCTTCATCAGCACGATCATAGATTTTATACATTGTACATGGACAACACCAACATACGAGACAACCTAAAATAATACTAGAATATTTTCATCATGATTTTTTTTTCACGTACAACTTCCGATATCTTCACAACAATGATGTAATTGTTGTGTCCACCAATTTTCAAATTTCCAAACATCATCACCTGGTTTTGTTTGTACTACAACACTAGAAGAGAAATTTTTATTTTTATTTTATTAATTTATTCTAAAATACATACGGTGAAAGTGTAGGAAACATTTTTTTCTTTAATGTAGTTGTTTAAAAATTGGTAAAAAGTACAACAATTCTTTTTACACTTGCTATTGCTGCTATGGAACAAGACAAACACGATTAATTCCATTAGTTATTTATTGATAACATTTCAAGCAAGCAAAATTTAAGTATACAATGAGATTTGTTCGAAAGAAGTAAAATTGAAAGTCTATGTTTTTTTTTTTCTTCTATGTCTTAAAATTTTATTTACGACATATAAATTCATCTGACAAAAAAAAGAGAACTTTTAGATCAATCTAAACAGATTGAAATGCAAAAAAAAATATCATTTGTCATAATAATATTTTATTTACTATGGATAGTTTTCTGTACGTATAACAGAATCAAATTATCAATTTAAATGTTTAGTCGAGATTCAATATTTATGTTCGTATAGTAAAAAAAAATGGCTTGTCAGTGCAGTTCCATTAGAAGTTAAATTGTGGAAATCATATATCCTTTTTTTAGCTTTGTGTTACTCATACAAAGTATGTTAAATATAAAATCTTTAAGAGGTAATAATTTCTTTCTAAGAATAATCGGTCGTCAGAGAAGCGATTTGTTTCATCTATTTCTGTATTTCAAACAGAAGTTTTTCTCTTTTAGTTTTTTATTTGTCTTGTTATTCATTCGTTCTTTTTATTTTCTTTTCGTTTGTTTTTCTTAAACTACCACTGTTTTTATTATTCTAACCATTGATTTAACTGACGAAATAATCCTGTTATATACATCTGTGATACCTACAATAGATCTCAACACACTATTATGTATCTCGATATAACCTTAGAAACATTAATATTGATTATTCTCGAAAATTACAATTTGATTAGTTCGTACTTTTAGCCTTGGCCATCTAACGATTGTGGTAAATCGAAACATCACAAGCCGTTAGTCGAATTATGTCAAGGAAAGCATTCGAATATTATCGAATCGTCTAAGTTTTGTTGTTAATACTGTTTAGCACCTTTTTTCATTGCTAAAAAGGAGCCTGATGATGATTGTCTTTGGTGGCAATGCAGCCATATTCACTAGTCATTGACCTTATTTGCTCAAGTCTATAACCTCGCATTATATCTTGCACTCATTATATTCCATTGTCAAACATAAGAACTCCATAAAAACATACAATACAAGAAGACGACTATTATGATAGTTCATTCATTCCATTATTAGTCGTCCATATATATATATATATACATATCCGTAATTAGCATCAGCAAATATTCGCTTTATTATTATACAAATGATACACATTAAGATAATCATATACATATATAAAATTTAAATAATTTAGTCAATTATTTTGATCTTTATTTTATTTGGTGACAGATCCAAAACCAGAATTCACTTATATAAGTACATTTTATAAATATCTGTGCTTCATTTCATAAAATCAAAAATTTCAAAGAAAATAATTAACAATTATACAAATAAATAAATAGAAATAAAAAGAAAAAAAAAACATTATCTATTTAGCATTTTTTACTTAGGAATATTTTGATGATCAAGTTCTTTTTCTATTTGCATTGCAGCACATGGATATAAACAACAACATGTTGTATAACAATCTTCTGCTAAACTACCCTAAAAATAAAAAATATAAAAAATTAAAATTAAATATCCTTTTTTTTTTTCTTTTTTTACTCGAATATGAAAAGCTGCTCGAACTTTTGTACGTAATGCCATTAATGAATATGGATTAATACAACAGGTTAGAAAATATTCACCAGTACGATCATTTAATTTAGCTATATAACATGGACTACAAAAACAAGCAAAAGCCGCTAAAAAAAAAGACACCAAGCATTATCAATTAAAATTTATCATCTTGAAATATAAAATACACATACATCGTGGACATGGTTTAAATGAACCAAAAAATGTTTGATGCCAACCATTATCAAATGTATAAAATTCATTTGAAATACCTGATTGAATAATAATTGGTTGACTAGTATCAAGACTTTTAAAATTTGAAAAAAAAAATAATTTCAAAGAAGTAAATACAAAAAACAAAACCAATGAACAAATTTTTTACCTTGTCATTGATGTATTTTTTTTATTTAATAAATGTTCACTATTGTAAGATTTTCAATTAGTTTTACTTTTTGTGAACGTTTATGATTCTTTGAAATTGATCAATGAACATAAAGTAATATTGTTGTCAAGGTAATAACACATATAATTATTTGGTTACTTTAATAGCACGAGTAGAAATAGTAAAAATGAAAGAAAGAAACGAAAGAAGTAACTGAAGATTGAGAAAGACAAATAATGAACCTATTCTTTTTAGAAACAAAAATCTTTACATAAATATTGCACTACAAAAAGCAACAATCGTTTTCATTTTGGTCATATTTCATTTATTATTGACAGGAAAAAAACCACTTGCGTTACTATGGAAAGAATTGAATGGAATGATTACAATGACAGCCAATAAGATCATAGTTTTCATTATTGACTTCAAAAGCAAACAAAATGGAGTATATAGTTGAATTTGTTTCTTTTTTTTCTTTTATTCATATGTGTATATAATTATACAGACATCTGTAGAAAAAAAAAAAGAGGAAAGTGGAATATTCAAGTGTCAAATATATTTTTAGTTTTATTAATAATCGCCACTATTATGTTGGTTAAAACGCTCATTTCGGGGATGAGTTTTTCTTGTTTTTGGTGCATCCCATAATCCTTGTGATTCAAGTTCATTTGCCATCTGATTTGCTGTACATGCCATGCAAAAATTTGATGCACAATAATCACCACAACAGCCACCCTAGAAATAGATTTAATTTAAATAAATATTCACTTTTTTTTTTTTTTTTTTTGTTAACAATGTCTACAAACTTCAATACGTCTTGCTGTTCGTAATTTTGTTCGAAAATATGATAACGAACATGGAAAACAACCAAGTATTGCTGATTCTCCTAAACGTTTAGATAATTTGCATCCCATACAACAGGAACAGAAACAAGCAAAACAGCCTAAATTTATAAAACGAAAAAGAAAAAGACAATAAGACCAATATAAAATTTTTAATAATATAAATTTTTAATCTTACATTGGCCCGTTGGTTTGCAGGAAAATAATTTTGTACGCCATTGATTTTCAAAATCCCATACATTATGTGGATCATATTGTTGTTTAACAACAGCTGGATGAACGTTTGGATTACTAAATAAGAATAAGATAATAAAAAAAATTAAAAAACAAAAAAAAAGAAAGAAAAAGAAAACGTTGAAGATATCCTTACTGTCCTCGATTCATTTTTTGTTGTTCTTATTTAGTTGTATTTGATTATGCCAAAATAAACCCAAAAAAAGAAATGATTGACAAGAGCTTTTTTTAATTGTTTCTTTCTTGTTGCTTCTATCGAATTCGTCCGATAATAATATTGTTCAATATTTTTATCGATGGCTTTTTTTTCTCTTTCTCTCTGTCTCTCTCTCTCTCTCTCCTCCTTCGCCTTTTTTTTTCTTTTATTTTTCTTACGTTCGATTATAACAAAAAAAGAAAGTCGTATCCATGTGAATTTAACTGTAAGTATGTGTATTTATCGACGCGAACGACCGATGCATGATTTTTAAAACTTACTTATGCCGAAATAATTAAAAACAAAAAATGCAAAAATGCGATTTTATTATATTTTGTATTTCTGATAACATGACAACATACATACATTGTTTTGTTCGTTGTTGTTGTTTTTTTTTTTTGTAATTAAAATTTGTTCAATTAATAAATAAGTGATTAGCATTTTCCTAAGTCTTCATTTTGAAAGTAGAGTAAATACAATAGATTATGGTAACTTTATTCACTAATGATATGTGAGAAAAGAAAATTCTTTCGATAAAGTTTTAATCGATAGACAAATAATAAAAAAAAAAAAGAGAATTTTGTTTTTTGAAAAGATTTTCTTTTGCATTAGATACAAAATACATTTGATCATTTATTTTATGAATCATCTTCTCAATAGAAGTAAAAATAATATATCGAAAGTTGAAATATTAGTACATTAAAATTAACAATCACATTTATGTTACAATCAATATTGACAAAACGAAAAAAATATTTGATTTTTTTTTTTTGCTAATTGTAAAATTCAAATTTAATGTTCTGACATTCCTATTGCTAGTAATGAAATCATATAAATTTATTTCTAAGTTCTTCTTTCATGTGTTTGATGTATAAGAAAATTATATTTATTAAGTGACTAATAAAATTTCAACCGATCGTGCGCAGAAAGAAAAAAAAAGAACTACTAATTAGAACGGTAAAATTCTATCGGGTACCAAAATAATACAATATAAAATAGATTTTCTTATAGTTCTCTAGGTGTTCATGTGAATAAGTTTATGGCGTAGAAAAAAATTAACAGACCTCTTTGTCAGCCGAGAACTAATAAAAGAAAATTTTAAATATATGACATATCTGTTTTTCATTATAAATCAAAAGTGAAATTTGTGTTTTACATCTTCTGAACACACGCATACAAAAAAAAGAATCTATAGAAAGTTTTTTCATACGCAATCGTGTTTAATTTAATTAATAATTTATGTCCAAAAAAAGAAACCGTAAATAGCTAATTCACAAATTTTGAAAAACTATTCAATCATAGAAGAATAATAATTCTATGGGAAATTAAAGATAGGTCATCCATATTATCTTTTATTATATATATATATATTATTCCTTTTAAATAATCATAAAATATATATAAACATAGTAGAATTTATAGTTAAATACATCAGATTAGTTTTCTTTTTTTACTATTCTTTCTTTTGCTGTTGATTGAGTAAATGAAAAGGAAATAATAAATAAATTGTAAATATAAGTATCGAATAAAAATTTATTAGCTCTTGCACATTAAAATTTATTACCATAAAAAAAAATTTAAACATTATTAATTAGCTGTAAATTAAATAAATTAAATTTTTTACTAAGATAACTCAACGATCAATCTTATTTAATATCATACCAATTTTTTCTTGATTAAACACTGAGAATCTTTACATAAATAATCAATATGTTGCTTATTAACTGATATATAATAGTGTCTTATATTATGCTTCCTTTCGAATATAAGATAATTATCAAAATCATATAAGATATAGTAGTTGCTAATTTGAGATTGACTAGAACCAAAAGAAATAAGTTTTAATCTTTCTGTCATAATGAGTATATTCGCATAGTCTTCAAAAGTACTAGTTCTTAATGATAGAATCCTAGGCTCTATTAACATGGAAAATATATGAATAGATAATACATCGAAAAAAAAAACAGTAGTATTTCTTATTAAATACAGATGTCAAGTCAAATAAGTTTGATTAATCCTAATATTAAGTTTTAAATGAAGATAAACAATAATAAATTTTCAATTCAATCGATATCAATTGAACATAAAGAATATTTTAAAATCCAATATATATTCCAATGAAATATTCATACTAAAATATGTATAATAATGTAAATACTCTTAGAACATTATTATCGTTTGAAAATCTATGAGATATGTTTAAGATATATAAGATACAATATCTTAAAAAGACAATGATATTTCAGAAAAAACCTATTGAATGATATAACATCTAATAATGAATATTTCAGAAGTGTAATGTTTTCTCATTTAATTACAAGATGTTATGATCGATTAAAGCATCACAAGAAAAACATCGGATTTCTATCATTTTGTAACTTATGATTAAATTTGTTTTCTATATATTTCGTTAAATTTCAAGATAGATAAATTCATTTAACATAATAAAATCGAATGTTTGTTTTTCTTCATGAACTTTTCTATTGACGTCAATCAAAACAGATCAATGGTAAAGAAATTAAAAAAAAACTGAAAAGTATTGTTCGGAACGACGCCCTATCCTGAATTTATACTTTGATGTAATATTCTATTGTTTTTCCTTCTTTGTAATAACACTACATTTTTAATGAAGTATATTAAATCTATTATGATTATTTATTAATAATCTTTTACGTATTTTCACGAGAAAACATTGCTTAGTAATAAATCTTTTTTTCATAATAAGTCTTTTTTCATTCGGTAGGTACTATTGAACTTTGAGAAAGTTTAAACTGATTCGTACTGAAGGATCTTTTTTTTTTTATAAGTTATGATTATTTAATTGAACTTTTTTAAGAAAACGACTTGCTTACTTCTCAGATCACTTTCAAATATCGACTTTCAACTCCAAACTTTGTATAAATAAAGCTTTCAATAGAACTAATTCATTATGCAAGTATTAAATTTTAACGTATTTGCTGTTCTGAAATAGCCTACGATTAGAAAGTCAATTATATTAAAAAGAAAAAGAAAAAGAAAGCAAATTTTGTTCTTATAATTATGTCTCATGATTAGAGACGTACATTGGCGATTTTATTTAGATTTTGGTGACCAGAAAAGAAATTACGAGAAAGAAAACTTGTCCAGATCAATATCAAAACTAAAGTTTATAATTAAATATTCTATCGTTTTAAGTGAATTATCTTATAAATCATATCAATGAGAATATTAATTCAAGAGAGATAGCCGAAAAAAATGTCGAAAGATTTATTTAGATGTAATACGAATAAATTCTGGAATAGTTTTTTGTTTAGACTGGAGTCAGAGAAAATAAAATCACCACGACCTTGATCAGATTAGATTTATTAAGATCATGATCGGGAGTGGATACGAAATAAACTTCGTCCCGTACATCTCTATCAACGATAGAAAATTTGACACTTTCATAATTCAAAACTCATTTCATGACACTAGAAAAAGAAAATCATGAATATTAATCTTTTTAGAGTTTCTCGAATCTTAACAAGACTTTTCTAATGAAATAAGATTTATCTAAAATATTATTTATCACTTAGCAAGATTTTTTTTATTATTGATGGTTTCAATTATGTCATTGGCAAAAAAATCAACAAAACTAATGCCACTACGATTGATTCCCTAATTAGTTTTTCATACGTTGTTTTTGGAGAATATGTTGTTATTAAATGTTGTACCACATGATTTTTTTTTTGTATACTATTTGATATTTCTATGTTTC